AACTTTGAAGGTGCACTCACACACGCTGCTTGAGGCTAGAATAGCTAGCCTTGAGGAGGCAAACCAGGCAGCGTCTGAACGCAGAAAGCGCAAGAAAAAGCGGATCCAGAAGGGAGGAACCCTATCGCAGGCAGAGGCAGAGGATATAGTTGGGCAAAGGGATGTTGAGGCTCAGTTAGAGGCGGAGAGGCGTCAGGAGAGAGTGCGCACAGGTAGTAGTGCAGGGGGTATTCGACGCTGCAAGAACTGTGGCGAAGCAGGTCATAACAAGCGCACATGCAAGAGAGATGCAGCAGAAGTGGAGGATTAATTTAACGTACTGTACACCATAGTACGATGTTGTAGTAGTGAGTTGTTGATGTGTTGGGGTGGATGGCTGCATTTAGTGCGCAGCTCGCTTGCCTCTCACGTTACTGTTTTAATTATAAAGACGTATTTGTTTAAGTCAAGAATTAGGCTAGCGTTGCGTGGGAGAGTAAGTACACAGCGCACTTTTAGAAAATAGTCTACTTTAAAGCTATCTATGTAAACTAAAGTATTATCAAGGTATACTATGAAAAATATGCTAAGCGTTCTTGTCAGATGAAGTAAGCGATACTGCATCGTGGACGGTATCACCTATGTATCACCTAGGTATCACCGACGTATCAGGTTTATGTTCAAAAAGGAGAGAGAACAGACCAACGAAAAAGAACAATGATCAAGACATAATCCATCATCGCAATCATAAACTTCTCCTGAGCTCATTTTCAGCATTTTCATCTGACAGTTCTATATAAAGCGTAGACAATATACTGTCAAAAAATTATAAATGCGATAGAGAGTTTAAATCGGTAGATAAGCTGCTTATATAACCTAAAGCGGGTGTAGAACGTAGTTAAGTGTTTTGTGATGGGCTGGAGCCCAGTTGGTGAGTCCTCGATGATATCTCGGTCACGTGCGCGAGGCGCACTGTCCACAGATTCCGGGTGCCCCCCTGAGCACCCGGATTCTGTGCAAGCGAGCCCGGCAGAAGGTTATCCCGAGCCGCCGCCCCCTGAACGACCTTCAGAACCCTAGCTACCCGTAGTTCTCTTCTCTATCGAATACAACTCCAGTATACCTGTGCGATAGCTCCCTGAGCGTAGCCCCTTACATGTTTGTTACCTTCTATAATATAGACCTAACGTGTTTTATAAGCGAGTCGTCCTTACAAGCGAGTCGTCCACCCCACCAACTTTGATCACCTTTGAAAATCAAATCAGTTATGCCTCAACGCCAACAAGCTCTATTGGGCTCATCTGAAGCTGATATGCAGCTTACTTTATCATCTCTTAATAGCCACCAGATCAAGACTGAGAGAGCTGCTGCTCGCGCGTTTAACGTCCCTCGAATGACGCTACGCGACCGACGCGCTGGCAGGCCTGCACGACGCGATTGCCAGCCCAACTCAAAGAAGCTTACCCAGCTAGAGGAGGAGGTGATTATTAGACATATACTCGACCTTGATCAGCGAGGATTTGGGCCTACGTATACAGCTGCGCGCGATATGGCTAATAAGCTGCTTGCTGCGCGTGGCGCAGGTCGCGTTGGCGTCCACTGGCCGCGCAACTTTGTCAGGCGTACAGACAGTCTTATGACGCGTTTTAATCGATCGTACGATAGGCAGAGAGCTCTATGGGAGGATCCTGTGCTAATTAGCCGCTGATTCAAGCTAGTAGAGGAGACAAAGGCCAAGTACGGCATCTGTGATGAGGACGTCTACAACTTTGACGAGGCTGGCTTTATGATGGGCAAGATCCAGACTCAGCTAGTTATCACAGGGTCAGAGAGGAGAGGCAGGCCAAAGACTATCCAGCCTGGCAACCGCGAGTGGGTGACGGTAATTGCTGCAATCAACGCTGCTGGCTGGACAATCCCACCGTTCCTCATCTTTGCTGGCAAGTATCACCTGTCAGCCTGGTACGAGGAGGATATCCCTCGCGACTGGGCTATTGCAGTTAGCGACAACGGCTGGACAACCAACGAGATAGGAGTTGAGTGGCTAAAGCACTTTATTAAGCATACTGAGGGCAAGGTAGTTGGAGCACGCCGCCTGCTTATCCTTGACGACCACGAGAGCCACCAGTCTCTTGAGTTTCAGGAGCTCTGCAAGGAGAGCAATATCTACACGCTCTGCATGCCAGCTCACTTATCTCACCTACTGCAGCCTCTTGACGTAGGCTGCTTCTCGCCTATGAAGCGCGCGTACAGCCGTGAGATTGAGGCTCTGATGCGCTACAATATCAACCATATCACTAAGCTCGAATTCCTGCCAGCCTTTAAGGCAGCCTTTAATCGATCGTTCACCTCAGCCAATATCTGCTCAGCTTTTCGAGGCGCAGGCCTGGCCCCTCTCCAGCCAGACGCTGTTCTATCAAAGCTCAACGTGCAGCTGCGTACGCTTACTCCACCAGCTGCTCTCGCAGAGCCTCCCTGGGAGGCTCGTACACCAAGCAACGTACGTGAGCTTGAGGCTCAATCAACGTTAATACGTGATCGCGTGCGGCAGCATAAGAGCTCATCACCAGCCTCGATTATTGAGGCGATTAACCAGCTTAAAAAAGGGGCTGAGGTGATGATGCTCTCAGCCGAGCTTATGCGCGACCAGATTACCTGCCTTGAGAGAGCCAACGAGGCAGCAACCAAGCGTAGGCAGCGCAAAAAGAAGCGGATACAGAAGCGTGGGACCTTAACAAAGGGAGAGGGAGAGGATATACTAGCTCAAAAGGAGGCTGACCAGCAGATTGAGCGTGAACAGCGTCAAGGTGGTGAGCGATCAGGCCTTAGCCGCCAGGCTATTGCGCGCTGCAGGAGGTGCAGGGAGACTGGGCACAACTCACGAACGTGCAAAAAGGATGCTGTAGATACTATTTAATCTACTATATTAATCGCTTTATTCTACCTTATTACGTTGTTGCGTTGCGTAGCTTTGAAGGTGATCAAAGTTGGTGGGGTGGACGACTCGCTTGTAAGGACGACTCGCTTATAAAACACGTTAGCTACAAAGGTTTTGATGTTCTGCTTACGTCAGACCCAAAACAGGGGTTTTCACCAGCCACGGTTTGAGTCGGTCGGTTTATTGACCACACTGCGCGCGGGTTAGTAAGCCCCATGACTTCTAGCAACTCAGGATCTTGTGACAGAAACAGACCACCCACCAGTCCAAGCTTCAGCTGAGCCGAGTGATGTAGCTGCGCTGGTCCTCGCCCGTTTTCGGCATCGAGTAAGTTAGTCTACCATGTCTTGATAAGGTGGACTAAGCTCGCTCGCAGCACTATGGTAGAGACTTGAAAGCTGCACACTGTCTTAGATCGCATTTGTGTTAGGCTGCATTCACATGTTATCTTTAGCAAAAGCTGTTCAATGGAATGAAGTACATGCATTAGGACCGAATAAAAGATAGCGTGAACTTAATGACAAGATACCCTCATCGTCGATCTAATGCCACTACCGTCACATATCTCCCTATTTAGGTTTCCTTATAACTACTAACCGTCCTAGCCCAAGATGTGGATGCAAAGCCATGTTGGGCATGTCTGCAGCTTCTCCAACATGCTGGATCACATGGAGCAAGTGGATGTTTCCCCTCCTTCACCTTCGCTACCCTTTTGCGGCGTTATACTGCTGTGTCATGATTACAGAATGCTTACGCTTTTGATTGCGCTTATGGGCAGTAAGCAAGCACCAAGGACGTAGCTTGAAACGCTGCGCCATAACCCTTCCAACTACGCCACAGTCATGTGCACCATAATCCGTATCCCTTAGCACTACTGAGAATATAGGAGAAAGGATGATGTGTTACGCGTACGCATATGGATACGCACGTGCATGTAAGATAGAGTAAAGGGGCTAGATATGTAGTTGAACGCCGTGTAGTTTGTTGTTGCTCAGCAGATTTCTGCCAGGCAGCCTGGGGCTGTGAGATGCCGCGTCGATGAGGGATCGCTCAGCGCTGCGCGATGCACGCTCACGCTATACAGCAGGCATGACGTAGATGCAAAGTCGGTCTAATCAACGTCTAGTACGTCATCTTCTAGTCATACTATGAGTAGTCGTCCTATTTGCTATGGTCAACAAGCATAATACGGGGTTCTACAAGTGTGGTACGCGTGCGTCATAATGTTGGCTACAATTGAAGATCTAACATGAAAGTGGCAAGTTGAGAAAATTTTCAGAAAAAGCAACAACAAGATGGCGAAACTTCCTGATACTCTTCGCTATTACCGGCGCATATAAAGTAGGGTGTATTTGCACCAGATTATTCTTTAGATACGTATTAACTATCTATGGCGTAAGTCTTCTAGGACCTACAGCTATCCAACTCATCTCTTTTATAAATGTGAAAATGAAAGATTGTTCCATAGAGAACATCCTTAAGTATCATTTCTCCAACCGCGAACTGCTTGAAGAAGCATTGCTCGCTGCAGGGGCGTCAGTTTCCAGCAAAGATATACAAGGGAAACCGCAAGGTAATAAGCGCCTCGCTCTCTTAGGAGATTCTATTATACAAGAAGCTGTTCTAGAGCGATGGTATAACTCTGAAGAAAGTACTGGTAAGTGCGCACATAGATGAAGGTTTGTTGAGAGACTGATCTTTACAGAGGAGGGTCATAACAGAGTAAAGAAGTTGTGCAGAAACACGAAGCTAAACCAAATAGCTGAGAGAAGCGGAATATTGAACTGTATTACTCAAAACCCATGCCAACAAGGTCAGGTACATCAGGAGACTGCTGCATCAACGGTTGAAGCACTGGTGGGAGCAGTTTATCTAGATTGTGGAAAAGATATATCAAACGTCAAGCACGTCCTCGAGGCAATCGGTTTTTTCATAGCGGGATGAAGATGGATTTATTATAATACGTAAAAAAGTAGTGCGTGTTGCATGATTTCTACGTAGAGCGTATGTCTAGCGAAAAATACGATTGGAAAATATGGGCAGTAGGGAGATAAAAGGCCAAAAAAGTGACTTCCAAGATTTTCTAAGCTGTCCAGTCGTTGGTTCTATGAATAGTTCTTGGCCCTTGATCGACGCCGTTCCCTTGCCTTTGGCTTTGCTTGAACTCAGCGAGCTCCTCGCCAACACCTATCATCTGATCGAGGTGTCCAAGCTGGCAAGTAGTCAAACGATAGGCGAGCGCGACGCGATTTTCTGGTTGGATGGTACGGTATGCAAAACATATGAGTCTTTTGAATACCTGCTTGTAGTTCCGATATGTCGAATCGCGGAGTTTAGTCATCAGTGGCCGGTCAAAAGCTCGTCTCCGCTGGATGAAGCTGTTAATGCGCGCCTGATCAAAGACGTTGACTTTGTCGTTCCGTATCGAGCTGTGCGCTTCTTCTACTATGCGATCCAAGCTATCAGAGGACTCAACTAGAAGTGGCTCTGATGCTTGGTCAGCAGGGCTTGCCAACAAAGCTACCTCATCGAATGAATGGCCTTGGAGATATTTCGGCCATCGCGTCATCTCGAGCCATGGTGAGACTTCAGTCGGCGCAGCGTTGTCCAGAATCACGTTCTCAAGCGCGCTCATCACCTGGTTGCCTTGCTCTAGTGCCTCGTCGATTTGTACGCGTATGTATTCTGCCTCGGGTAATTTGGTTGCCATTTCTTGGCGTCTCTGCGCCTCTTCTCCCTCCTTGACTTCAGCGGGCGAGATAACTGCAAAGTACTGACTTTTAGAGCCTCCTATGAAGAGACGCTGGCACGACACTTTCTTCCACTGGGGCGCAGTTGCTACAGTAGCCTTCGATGGGCGTCCTCTGGTGCGTTTCTGCTCAGTGTGCTGCGTCTGAAAGTGTCTTTCCATAGTTTTTTCTGTCGCGCAAGTATATTTGCACTGTAGGCACGACAGCCCGTCGTATATGGGAAGGTGCGGTAGAGCAGGTCGCCCTGCGGGCGGGAGTTGAAAGCATAGTGAGTCAGGGTCCACCGGAGACTTGAGCATGAGCTCTTCAACTAGTAGCATCCGAGATTTCCTTGAAGAGCCTAGCTCTGGATGGTCAGCGTGCCAGCGTGTGAGGTGGCCCAGGTAGTGTTTTTGTTTGACCCCTATGCCGCATGGGATATATATCCACGTTTGAATATCCGCAAGATAGGAGAAAAGGTCCATGGCGGTACGTGAGCATTCGATAGCTGACCCCAATGGAAGACATGGCAACCACAGAGCACCTGAGCGGTGCAGGCATAAATAGAGTGTTCCATGCTAGAAACAAAAGACGTGGCTGGGCAGTAATTTCCCCCTATCCCGTCCAGCAGCTCACTAATTACTACTGATATTGAGAGGTATTGCAATGAGCAACCATTTGAGCTGCAACTGCCGTTAAGGGTAAGATCCAGGCTGATTGCAATGGTAGCAACGTCTCATATTATCACAATTCAATAGTGGTAGCTGGTGCTGTAATGTACGCAAGGCAGGACCATGTAGGCCTGCGGTCGCAGCGTAGACTTTTTGGTGAGGCGAGATGTTAGCGCAAGCACGGTCCAAGTGAAGCAAGCGAGCGAATCAGCTCTCGAGAAAATCGAGTGAGGGTTGAATTGATATGGCCATGTAGCTCTAGGGCTGAATGTCATTAGCGCCCTGGGATAGGGTTTCTCGGAGGATTGTTGGCTATTGCCAACGATCCCTTCACCCATTAATGATAGGGAACGAATATTGACGTAGCGTTCGCTGCTGGCAAGCCTATTACTACGCCTTTGTCGTATTTGGCGTCAGCTACAAGCCTAAGCGGCCCTTGCACTGGCGTGAAGAGAAGATTGCGTGGAAGACCAAATTTCTCCACATCAGCTTTAAATGAAGGAAACTGACGTTCGGCGTGTTCGGCGAAAGTACGCACGTAGCGATTACTGGAGGGCGTGACAACAATGCCTTCGGTCCGTTCGAAGTACTGAAGAACTTTTGACGACGCTAGGTTCGGATTCGCACGACCAATTTCCACCTTTGTGATTACGTCGTGTGGCGAAGACCTGCCCAACGTTAGCAAAGATCATATCTTAATGGTTTGGGCAAGAACGGTGACGATCCATTCGGAAGAGGACACATGCTTACCTGGTTGTTGACACCAGCTCAGCCGCAAGCTGGGGATTGGCCTTGCTACCGACGTGTGCTTTGATGAAGGCGGTAAGTGCCCATTTCAGCACCCCTTGCTGGAAACTCGATTGCTCGACGAGCGGAACATCAACGCTCTGTCCGTTCCCAAGAGAGTATGGAAATGTAGGTGTGGAAGGATCGTAGGTGACCGACTGACTGCCCAAGCACAGGTCAAAGGTAGTGCTCCACTCCGAATTGAAGAAGTTGTGGCCAGCGCCGTAGGCAGTTATGTAGTAGTTTGGAGCTGGATTGAGACGTGACTGTCGTTCGTACAGGCTGAGATATGCTTGAATTGCGAAGAATGATCAGCATGAGAAGATTAAGGAGCGTGTCATGAACGCAAGGGCAGCAGACTGTAATAGGGCACGGCTGTACTCCACTCTCATACTCTATACTCTGCCTCGGGATACTCACCAAAATCAACTTCATCGTCCTCGCAACCAGCTGCGAGTAGGCCCCAGGCCGATCCGACGACTGCAACATCTTTGCCGCCCTCGGGACTAACGAAGGGAGCGACTTCCCACACCGCCGCAATCCTCGACTTTAGTCGCGAAGACCAATCATTGCAGTCTCTGAACGCCAGTCTCTCAGGTGTCATCAGCAAGTTGGCAGCAATCCGTGCTGCAGCGCCGCCTCGAGAGTGCCCCATAAGTCCTATGGCCGTTGTGTCAATGGATCCAGAAATATCCCGGCCGAGGGCTCTGGGGCTCTCAACTGGGTTTGTGTTCCACAGCTCAAGCTTCTCTAGAGTGCGCAACAGCAGCCGAGCGCGGGCTCTGTTTAGGTTGGGATCATCTGCGACTGCTTGTGCATTGTTGAGCATGAGCGGATCGATGGAAAGGGCGATGTAGCCCTCCGCAGCCAGGGCCTGACCAAGGTAATCGAATCCGCGGTAGCTTTCGACAACTGAGGAGTTTCCTGGGCACTTCCCTTGATCATCGACAACGCCGGTATCCAGAGGAAACGGTCCGAAATCGGGTATATCGATGTATTGTCGGCAATCTGGATGCTTCCCAGGGAAGAGAACAACAACCACTGTCGAGTTATCCCGAGGCATCTTCGAAGGCATGTACACCTCTCCTTTTATCTGCGTCGGACGAAGACCAGTCGTGTTTGCCGTGCCATCCTCAGGAAGGTTGTATATAACGGGGTCAACTCTGAGAGGATAGGCGTAAGCTGCTTGCAAGATCGACGAGAGACCAGCATGATCTTTCACGTTTCGATGTCCAAGGCCTGCGCTTGCCTGGAGTAACAAAGAAAAAAGCGTAAGGCAAGACGCCGTTCGAGTTCCACAAAAAGGAACCATAATGATTGAAAGTTCAAAGGATGACAATCATCAAGAGCGGGCACTGCATGACTATAAGAAGTTACTTTACCGGCAACACACAAACCTAGATTGCGTAGCGTATTGCGTAAGTTCTCGCCCGCTTGTAAAATTACGTTGCCAGAAGTGCATTGGGAATTTCGTCGGCATATGGTCACCCAGCCAAGTACTGATTTAAGTGGTGCCAAAGTGAGCCAGAGAGTCTGAAAAAAGTGACGCAGTTGTGGTAAATGACGCGTACAGGTCCAGCACAGCGAGGTCTCACGATGCAGCAACAGCATTTCTCTTGTTGCAGATTCGCGTGTTTGATTGCCAGTCTTGGATCGGGTCAAACAATGTTATTACGGAACCCACAAGGCAGTAAGGTACGTAGACTGAAATTAGCTTTTCTCCAGGATGAGATTGATCGATATTAGCGTGGAGCGTCTAGAGTTGACTTTGACAATGCACCCCGCCGCTGAACGGTCGGTATTGTGTGGGACTAGCGCAGTCCAAAGCCATCTTTAGTACGCTAACCTCTATCGAGCCGAATTTGCGACACCAGATTTACCAATTAGCTGCGCCTTCGCAAGACATCCATTTTCAGGTTTAGTGCCATATTGCACGCTACAGGCAAAGCACATTGTAATGTTTCCCAGTGATACTCAGTTGCCATGTTGCCTTTTGACTTGCGACAACTCCTCCTGGCCGGATCTGGTCTTTTTGGACACCATGGCGGGTGCCACTAGATACAACAGAACTGTGCGTATGGAAGCTAGAGGCAATACAGGTAGGACCAGAAGCTCTATTGTTATTTCGCTGGTATTGATAGATGCGCTGCAGGTGACGAGAGCCTGTTGCAGGCACAAAGCCACTCTGTCGCTTACAACACAGGTTCTTCCGTACCTACGCCGTCAATGGGCACCCGGCGGATCACTGAGCGCGACACGGCTGTGTATGCGGATGTGGCTGCCGAAGGGAAGCCAGAGCTGTCTGTTCCATCGCCACAATGCCACGCACCCTCCCACGACTCACTCCAACGTTACGTGCCCGCCGCTACAGAGAGTCTAGTCGTAACAAGCAAGCAATTGCAAGAAGCTGAGCAAGACGACTTTACACAACGGTGGTTTTCGAAGACGCACCTGGCGGCCAAAACGGCAGCATCGCGCTTACTTAGTCACTACTTTACAGCACCGGACACAGCTGCCGACCTCGTTGGAGCACGAAAATGTAGTATTCTACATGATCTTCCAGCAGTCTGGTCGGTAAAGGGGACTACCATGGCGCTATCTTTGCTAGCGGCTGCCGTGCTGATCCAAGAAGGGCTTGTCCGAGCCAGAAATTTACAATTGTTAGAGACCTGATTGCGCTCGAATTTTGTTGGCACTGACATTGTTCTAGCATATACCCTAACTCGGGCGCAAGGTGCGACCCTACGGATCCAATCTCCGGTGTGCTCCTTGGTGTGTCTGAGTACGTTGGAGAAGTCATGCTTGGATTCGTCGCTGGCCGTACGGAGCTCGGTCGGCACACCGCTCCAATGCTGACGTGTAGTAAGTCAGGTCTGCAGGCAGATTGGAATGGCGACATGGCGCAAGCGGCCACAGGTCATATAGAAGGCCGGCCGCACGCAGGAGCGAGAGTTGCTATTGAGGCTGGGACGAGCCTACGCCGTGTTGTAATAGCAAGTTTGAAGCTCCCTATGCGGGTCACGCGGGGGTTGACAAGAGGATTCCACAACCTACCTAAACTGTATGGTGAGGAGACTAGACAGTATGAAGACGTTACAGGACTTAGAAGCGGGCTCAGAGTTAGTGCTAAGGTATGCAGAATCCCCGCACCGTCGAATCTGTACTGACCGGTCGCAGAGCTTTGGTCATGGGCTCGGCGATGGATTTCGGGATGTCGTGGCAATGCCGATTGATGGAGCGCAACGAGGCGGTCTTGCAGGTTTTGGTGTGGGGCTCGTGAAGGGTCTCAGTAACGGGGTGGTGAAGCCTGCGGCAGGTCAGTATCCGTACGACGTCGGACGAGTACCGCTAACCGCAGGACAGGTATATCGGGCCTGGTAGGGTACAGCTCTTTTGGCCTGTACAAGTCAATTTACAACACTCACTATACGAGGAAGGACGAACATACTTCTCTAGTGCGCACACTTTGTGCTGCAGAGTACGAGCAGGCGAGCGAGGACTGCAAGTTGCATGTCGTGCGTGTGTGGTGTCAAGCTTAGTCGAGCGCTCGGTTGGTTTAGGCGTCGTCTCGAACAATTTTGGACACAACTTTCTTAGATCGTTCGGATGCAGCTGCGGGAGTCTAGCTATACTTCTGGCACATGTATCACTTAGCATTGACTTTTGTACCCAACCTTCAAAGTCGGGACTCTCTATATGTGGAGGCTGTGTAGTGTGTATATGCCAAGTTGCCCGATCTGAGGTCTCATGCTGAAATTTTGTTCTGCAGGTCTGGCTTGCTTGTATGCGTGTGATCTGAGCTCAAAATCGGTTGGCCTACTCTTCGGTCGTGCCTGGGAAGTAGGGGCGTGATTTTATTTCAATCCAATGGACAGTCTCCCCTACAGCTCTTACCCTCTCTCTAGACGCCTCGACAGATCCAGCTCAACGATGACCATTCTGCCATTCCTCTCCAGGATCACAACATCAATGAGCTTTGCTCGCTAATTGTGGCTAGGACTCTCAACGAGCTGTACGGCGAGGAGATTCTTCAAAGGCTAGGTTGGTTGACATGGCGTCGACGTCACGAGAGCAGGCGTGTTGTAGAAGTTGGTGAAACGACTCTGGCCTTGGGTGAAGGTAACAAGCTCAGCTTCGGTTGAGAAGGACCTGATGATCTGCTGTTGATAAACCTTGATGGTGGCTGGGTGCTGCGAGTGAATGGACGAAGTAACTTGTGGACGGCTTACGACCCAACTTGGCCGCGCATTCGGCGTCTGCGCAGAACTTAAGGCCGAGAGTCTCTTGTTTATGGACGTCGATGTTGTACTTGTAGACGATACCTAGCGTAGATCTAGACTTGCAGTAGGCGCATCGGTATACATAGCCTTCTGGCTTCAGGGTCAAGAAGGTCGGTTCTTTTAACCGCCACAACAGACGACAACGTGCTAGGTAAGGGTTCTTTGTTCACCTGCGCGGTTTCAAGGAGTGAGCGAGGGAATTCCAACTATCCAACCGACGTCCTGGCGGACAGTTCGGGCAGGATATAGAAGCCTCACCAACTTTGGTTGGTACTAGTCGGCCACGTCGTCGTTAGTGTTGTCGTCCTCAGCGCGCCTGGTGAGCTCGGGCGTTTCTACTGCGGGCGTATCCATGGTCATGGGAATCCTCTGTAAGCCGGTGCTCATATGCAAGGCGATTGGAGTCGCTATTAATGGTGAGTGAGATATCTTGGTTGATCCGATCACGCGCAACACACATGTGCAAATAGCAATGTTCACGTCCGACAGCAGGGGACTTGGAGCGATAGAGAAACTTTCATTCTAGCGCTGCTGTGTCTGACTTGGCCTTGGTCGTGATGAATAGGGTGTGAATGTGCTTGATGTTGATGTCATCATTGTTCTGATGGCCAGATAGGCGCCGGCCAGTCTCAGGACTAATGAAACTCAGGGTTTCGTGCCACCTGTCGAGGTCATTGTACCAGAAGGGCGGTAACTGGCGGAGATCGTACACATCGCCGAGGGGTCGAACTATATATTTCGCTGCAAGATAAGTGGAGGCAGTGTTAGCAGCGTAACATCGGACCCCGACAAGCGTGAGTCAAGGCGCTCTGATGATTTCAATCTGTTCGCACTCTCAGCTCACGACTGATGACGCTCTGGGAGTGGGGACTTAGAGGACGTAAGAAATGAACTCCACGCTGCCTACTGGTTCGTCTTGACGGAGGCCGCAGGCGGCTTTTATATGCTGATCCTTAGCGTGGTTGTCATGTCGCTATAATGTGCCCATGTGCACTGCGCCGGGATGAAGTTCAGGTGGCCAAATTCGTCTGATGTGGTTGGTGGGGTCTTTGTTCGCCACCGGATTTGGTGCCTGTGGCGATGTTCCTTGGAAGCATCAAGAAGATGTGAACGGTGGGAAGACACTGCTTTTGTTTACAGTGTTTGAGAAGTTGAAGATGCCTCAAAACATTGCATTGCCTCAACACGATCAAGTCCTCACAGAGCTTGTCAAGGTTACCAATGGACGTCACGCTACCTGGAAGCTTTGCTCGAGATGCGTGACCGCGGAAGCCTGGTACCTTGGATGAACCTAGCGTACAATCTCTCATTCATCCGGGCTCTTCCATACGCGCAGGAAGGAGCTCTAGCATCATGCTACTGGGGTCACAGAAGATGTAGTCAGGATATTGTTGTCATTGGGACCGACATCTGGTAAATAGACTCGCCAGTCAACCGACAAGGCAACCACAGACCGCATGAGGCAAAAGCATATCCCCTCAACATGCCGAGAATCATGGAAGTGAACGTATGCAAGATGTGCAAATGCGTGCATGAAAGCTACGATAGTTACTGAATGAAGGCCTCCACGCTCGCTGTGCTAGACCTGGTGTCTCTACTAGTGATCATCGGTGACGCAGAAGTTGAGTACTAGGTACATCAAGAGGTACTCTGAGAGACTGAGTGCGATAAGAGCAGCAACCCTTCCTCGCCGAAGTGCAGCCTTGTTAATTCCACTAAGAAACTCGACTCCACTGTTATAGCGCCTGTCGATGATTTGCATGTAATGACCATTGGCGTCCCGGACTTCACAAGCTTGGTGTCAAGTAGAACTTTGCTATCTGATCTAGAGACCAAGCGGCCGCGTGAGCGTTCATCTCAAATGGGTTTTGAGTGCTTCTTGATGTCGCTGTGACTGCCTCCGTTTTAGGAACCCGTGGGCTTGTAATTTGGCGCTGCGTGATCAGACCCAGTGAGCCGCGTGTAGGCTCTTGACGTTACCATGACGACCCTGAAGATCTGCGGATGCCCGACCCGCGATCCGGGTTACAGGAAGAAAGGATTGGTCTAAGCTTGCGGCAACCACGGGAAAGGAGTTTGGCAAGCCCGATGCCGAACGCAGCGCCAGTGGCGCGCGCCGGGCGTCCGAGCGCCAAGAGAACCACGGAGCAGGCGCGCACAATGAGCCTAATCAGTACAAGCGCGTTCGCCGGCTTACGTAGCATCAAAGTTGTTCAGCAGCACGATGTAACAACCGAGGGGATGCACTACAGTGTGGACCAGCAGCAGTTCCCAGATGTTCCGTCCCTATTTTGTTTTCTCTACGGCATGGCATTCCCGCAGCGCGTCTTCCGTTTTCGCACTAGCGCGGTGCAAAGGCAAGTGGCGAGTCATGTCACATCCAACTCACGGCAGAAGAACTATTAAGCACTTTTTTCCGATTGCGTCAGGTTCCGATAGCGCGCAGTCGAGTACAGCACCTTCTCCGAACGCACTTGTTGCCATTTGATACATACACCACACCAAGCAGATCAGACTCGCATCCAAAAATACGGCCAGAACATGCCATCGGCGAAAGAACCATCAGGTTCATGTGGTAACCCTGGTGGTGCGAGCGCATCCCGTTCTCACTCCCAGCTGGATACCGTGGAGAGCTCATTACCTCCAGGCGATACTCGCGTCACAAGTATGTATGCTGTCACGATTGATCGTCTCTGGATATCTAATGTTCCCAGATGATGGCCGCGTCAACATTGACCTCAAATCCCAGCTCGCTAAGACGCTCATAAAGCTTGTTCCTGAGACGAGCGAAAACTCCTTCCAGCGCAGTCGCTGCCTTACTGTACACCGAGGCTGGAACATACGCATGAACATTGTTATACAGGTTGTGGGTAGTCGTGGTGACGTACAGCCCTTCGTCGCGCTGGGTCAAGAACTACAGAAACACGGTCACCGCGTCCGACTAGCAACTCATAATGCTTTCGAGGAATTCGTTAAGAAGTCAAAATTGGAGTTCTACCCAATAGGAGGGGACCCAAACGAGCTCATGGCTTACATGGTGAAGAATCCTGGTTTGATCCCGTCCATGAAGAGTCTACGAGATGGAGACGTGAGGAAAAAGCGCAAGATGATCGAAGAGATTCTTGACGGATGCTGGAAATCATGCGTTGATGCGGATCGCGATCTACAAGAGCCATTCGTTGCCGATGCCATAATCGCGAACCCGCCCAGTTTTGCCCACGTGCACTGCGCACAAACCCTCGGAGTCCCGCTTCACCTGATGTTCACCATGCCATGGACGAGCACGAGGGCATTCCCGCACCCTTTGGCGAATTTCAAAGTCGGAGAGATTGATCCGGCGCTCATAAACTACGCATCGTACGGTGTCGTGGAGTTCCTTACGTGGCAAGGTTTGGGGGACATGATCAACGCGTTCAGAGCTACGTTAGGACTGCAACCTGTGCCTACAACTGTCGGGGTCACGCTGGCGGAGGCACTGGAAGTACCGTTCACATACTGTTGGTCTCCAGCACTAGTTCCCAAGCCTGCGGATTGGCCTTCACACATCGATGTGTGCGGCTTCTTCTTTCGCGACCCACCGCCATACGAGCCCCCAGCAGCGATCCTCAAGTTCCTCCAGGCCGGTCCGCTTCCCGTCTATATAGGCTTCGGCAGTATCGTCCTTGAAGATCCGGTGAAGATGACCTCCTTGATTTTAGGAGCTGTGCAGCTGTGTGGCGTTCGCGCTGTTGTTTCAAGAGGTTGGAGCAATCTAGGAAAAGGGATGCCCGACCAAGTTGGCGACGTTCTCTTCGTCGGCGACTGTGATCACGAGTGGCTGTTCCAGCACGTCGCGGCAGTAATTCATCATGGCGGTGCGGGCACGGCCGCTTGTGGGCTGAAGAATGCATGTCCTACTCTGGTAGTACCTTTTTTTGGCGACCAGCCATTCTGGGGTGATATGATCGCCCAAGCTGGTGCTGGACCGAGACCGATTCGGCATAAACTGCTTTCGGCCGAGAACCTAGCACATGCAATCCGGTTCCTGCTGACACCTGAGGCAAAGTCTGCAGCTCGAGATCTCTCTAGAAAGATGGCTCACGAACAAGGTGTCAAAGCAGCTGTACTCTCTTTCCACGCCAACTTGCCATACAAGGCCATGGCCTGCAACATTATGCATGACCTGCCAGCTGCATGGAGCTACAAGAAGACTCCCATACGGCTATCGAAACTCGTAGCGCAGATCCTCATCGACAATGGTGTCACCTCACCAAACGACTTAACCAGGTAATCCATTCCTCGCAACAGGATGCGGACAGACACTGAGAATGCCAGTTACGAGACGCGGACGATACGCATCACCAACAATCGCTGGGACCCGATCACGGGTACAGGCTCAGCGGGGGTTTCTATGGTAAATAGCCTGCGCAGAGGCATCACAGGCATGGTTTACGATCCGTTCAAAGAGCTGGATCGGCCCAAGGCGGAGGGCACAAGCGATGCAGTCCACAATGCCGCAACTGCAGGTAAAATGATGGCAGCAAGCGCAAAAGGGTTCGGCAAGTTCAACGTGGCTCTCTTGAAAGGCTCCATCGTGGACTTACCACTAGCAGTAGCTGAAGGGTTTCGCGCCGTGCCGAAGCTATATGGAGAGGAAGTTCAGGACTACGGTGACGCAACAAACATCAAGACCGGCTTTTCCAAAGCCGGAAAGAACTTCGCGTTTGGCATATCCGGCGGTCTCTCAGATCTTTTTGTACGACCTTATGAAGACGCGAAGAAGCACGGCGCTTTGGGCTTTGCCAAAGGCCTCAGCAAGGGTGTGCTAGGCTTTGGTTCCAAGACGGCATCTGCTGCTGTTGGGATCCTTGCATACCCAGGTGAAGGCATCTGTAAGAGCATTCAACACGCGGTGCACGCCGGCAATAGCAGGGACATCAAAGCGCTGAAGATGAGTGAGGGTGCTTACCTGGCCCGCCAATCTAAGCTAGACGAGGAGGTCAACGGCATTGTCAAGGCGTTCCGACTCTTGAGGAAAGAGCAGGGCCAAGTTGGGAAATTTTGAGAGCAGCACATAGTGATCGAAGACCTGGACATCTTCATGGCCGGTTCGGCTTGACGACAAAACCACGGTCCTCGTCGCTACAGCATTTGCTGGCTCTACATTGGCATCGAGCACGACGCAAGAGGCTCTGGGTAATAGATATGCGTTTCTTGGTTCTGACAAGCACAACATTGTGGTAAAACGACGACGCTCAGAACGCATGTTTGAACGAGCGCAATGCGAAAGCCACGTTTTTTGTCGACATTTCGGCCTGGAAATCTCCCGCACGATGCTTAAGCTTTCGGCATGATTCCGTCGTGACCACCGGGGTCGCTACAAGGCCTCTCAGCCTCATCCGTACCAGCGTCGCTCTATCCCAGGGCTCTATCCCAGGGCTCTAATGACATTCAGCCCTTCATGTCGTTAGGGATTTTTTTTAGTTAGGGACTAGATATCCAGGTCTCTGCGTAATTTTAGGTACGTAGGCTCTATCCGAGGGCACTACTTGGGATCAGCCCTAAGATATATGACTTAATACAACGCTACAAGACTTCATTTATCAGCCAATAAGCAGCGTCAAAGTACAAGACCCCTGTCTAGCGCCTCGCCTCATCAAAATTCCTCTGATATTCCCGTTCTACTCAAGTTCCCTCCCCAATCAACAATCTCGCCTTCTACTGCTGTAAGCACTCATACGATGAGATACACGGGGAAGCAAGACTGCTATGAATGTCGAGCGCTACCGGCGAGGCTGACCGTGGCATGACTTAATGACGACCGTGAGCAGTCTGCAGGATCTTTGGGCTTGATGCAAGACTACCGTGACAGGAACTGTGCCGCAGTGGTGCGACTGCTGACTAGTGAGCAGCTTACGCTTCTCGAGCGGCCATGCGCGCAAAACTAAGCGACAGAGTGCTCAGTATCTCAAGCGAACTGGAAAGTAGAGCTCGATTCGTGCCACTGACGTTTAGGCACTTTGTGAGCCCGGACATTGCGCACTGTGGGTGTCGCATTCTCTGCAGTGCCGATGTGAAGCTCCCAGTCATAATATCGCGCGTCAATCCCTCACATATTCACATCGTGAAACCAGATCGGACTGCTATAAAACCAGCAGTAGTAGTAGTGCGCCAAAACCTCTGCACCTCAACAGTCTCTATTCAACGTCCCAGGGAGCCAACATTGTGGTTGCAAGTGAGGTCTTGGCGTCAGATTATGCGCTGGTGGAGTCGCCTTCGGGCGCGGGGTCGTGGGGCATCGCTGCTGGCTTCAGCGTCCAGGTATTCCAATACCACCAATAACTGTCGCATATGTTGATCCTCAAAATTCGGGGGACTAAAGTGGCCCTTCCAAGTCTATTCGCCGCAACAGTAACAGAAGAGACGTTGCTGTAGTTGTACGCCGCCAAGGCGTGCATCACGCGCCGCCAGACGCACTACTATCGACAGCACTTCTCCTTGCCCCGTACTCGACCGAACGAGATCATACCCTACCGCACGCGACATACCACTAGCCCCATCTCAGACATGTATTTATGTAGGCAATAAGGAGATATATAGTAAGGGTGGGCCGTCGAGACTTCCCATTCCGGGTGAGGTGCTAATGCTGACTTGGTGCCACCCCCTTCACACTTATAGTACTTTACAACACAGCACTGACTACGCATGTTGGATCGCAACACCCTAAGTTGTTGTGGGCAGTCAGCGAAAGCATTGCCGAAGAGCTTGAGTTGGGATTTGAATTGGATAGAGATGCTGGTCTCTAGAGAACAATTGGGACCGATATCGAGGACCCTGAAACAGAAGAGATCCTCGAGGAATCAGCGCAAGGAGCTATTCAGGCTCCTCCTAGTGAAGAGCATCTACTGGAGCAGCTGAATTGCTTAGCGCTTGACGAGGACAAGTACATGTGGTTTATATCCCAATGTGTCACAGATGACATCAAACAAGCTGCACTTTGCTTAGAGAGTACAAATTCAGCCGAGACATTTCTTCACAGAAAGGACTCCGACGGAAACACTGCGCTAGCTCTAGCCTGCATGGAAGGACACTATGATCTGGTCAGGTTTCTAGTGGAGCAAGAATCTCCGATTGACCCCAGGAACAAGAGTGGAGAAACCCCGTTGATCATATCGCTGCAATACGGTCAAACTGAGGTCGCAAAGTACCTAGCCTCGCATGGTGCCTCAATCTCAAGTTGTGACGGAAGTGGAGCTAGCGTACTCTCTCACGCCAAAGAGCTTCTACAGAGGCTGGAGGATACCAGAATATACTGTCATATGCCATCCTTGTCGAACAGTAGCTCATCTGCAAAATCAAAAGTTGTCAGGGACACCGATGGAAACATCGTTCTGGGATATCGCGAGGATCCGCACCCTTCTGTCGGCATGAGGTACCAAGAGCATCAGGAGAAAATCGATCGCGTACAGATCATAATCAATGCTTGCATCGTACACGAAGCTACGCAGAAGCGCATTAAAAAATAAAAGCAGAACCGTGCGCGAAAAGCCCATGCGTCAAAGGTCTCCATTTCCCGATCTGTAGTCCAGACAATGGTGACTGTATTTCGTGATGCATACCAGATCCCAATGGCTGATAAGAGAAAAACGTTTGGATATCTTGAGCGTGGAGAAGCATACAACCTTGTATTTGCAGTCAGCGGCTGGAGTGGAGGGGAGTTTGCAGATATTGATGGGTGCGTTGATCGAGAACTCTGGACGAAGAGGGTATTTGAGTTCAGCAGAATTGTGGGTCACAGCCTCAAACGCCATGAATACGATCAGCTTGGCCGGGAGGGGAGTTTCTATGCATGTCATGCCGAAAAGCAGCTGATGGCATTCGTGTTGTGGCACTATACATCTTTGCAGGAAAAGCCAGCACGGCAGGCTCCCGAAGCTGAACAGGCAAGGTATGAGAGAATGAGCAGACTGCAACAATGCATTCGTAACAGTACACACGCTATAGTCAAGTGCACAGAGCATTGCCAGAGCTACTGTGGCCCACCCGTGGAGGTTATTAGGCCGGTTATATGTGTTACGAATGCTGTATGCCATGATTGTGCGGATTTTCGGATGCGGATTCTGGAATATACTGGAATCAATATAACTCTGGAAATGATAGGTTGAATTAGTAAACTTTGATTAACTTATGTGTACACTGCTGTGATGGCCGCGCTTTTTCTCTTCAAAATGTCTAACAAGCATGCTTCGTACTGCAAGATGTTGGACTATCCTGAATCCTGACAATCGTCAAGGCCGGTGTCAGTAGAGTAGAAGCGTTAGAGGCTTATCTCACTTGACCAGCGACAAGCGATTACGGTCAGCATCATGACCACTACAATGATCACCCGCCCAGGGACAGAACAAGGCTGCGGGCTGTACGCAAGTGATTGTAAGTGGGATATATAACAGATCGAGCGCTACTTGCTTTGCATAAACCTCTTTCTACCGTAACGCGAGAGATGTTTATTGTTGTCGATATAACGATTTAGGGATATACACACTAAACGCGATGTCAACCTAGTATTACACGGCATATATAATAGGCTAGTATTCGAAATTATGAGATTCCAAATGCTTAGCACATTCTACGTCGGTTTCCCACTAGTTCGACTACTCATTACAGCGGACGGTATCATATAGGGGCCGATTAACAGCTCTCAACCGATCCACCAGATCTTTGAATGGAAAAGGCATGTAGGTATCGCCCAACAAACCTTCGAAAAACAGGGCAAGCGAAATGGACCATCCTTTAAAAGGGAAGTCTATGTGCGATCTTGGTCCCAAATTATGAAGCATAGCTACACGGTCTTCAAAAGTCCTTTTCGCGGCTAACTCTTGGAGGGGATCCTTAACAGGGGACTGTATAACACTAGGAGAAGCCGCGCGCGTTTTGATAAGACTTTCCCAATGGTCCAATGCTCAGTCGAAGTTTCTGAACTCGACTTCTAAGTCACTATACGGTTTGCGATGGGGACTAATCACATATAGCTTCCTTGTGGGCAGTGGTGTATTCGGTATTGAAAAACCCCTGTCAATATTTCAATATATATTGAAAATATTGATTTTTTTCAATATTGATTCTTCAATATGGAGTTCTTCAATATTGAGGAAATATTGAGGATATTGAGAATATTGAGAATATTGAATTCAAGCATGCAACTCGCTACTCGGAACAACTTCGGACCTCAGAGCTTTACCAATAATATTTTCACACATTCAGAACCACGAAATAACGTACTTTCTCAACCTCGGTATGGCACATAAGGACATCGAAATGGACGACGGCACCACCTCTCAGCTCTCAGGTCTCGGTTCTTCTCCGCCCGCCAACTTCTTGCACGCAGAGAGCCCCGGTTCTACGGCTACTACCGAGAGCAGAACTTCTTCCGATCGCGGAACCAAGAAGCGTACCCAAACCGCTCAAGAGACTTGGAGCCACGCGAAGAAGGTCGAGAGAGATGAGCAAGTCCGACGTGATCGCTATGGCAATAGGATATGGGCTTGTAATAAATGCTCATGGGAATCAGCTTCTCTAACTTCCGCTCGAAACCATCTTGATCGTACGCACGGCATCAAGGTAAAACCACAGCAGTCACAGGTTGTGACAAAGGGACAGGCGAAGCTTGAGCAGATTCTGCGACGGCAGGGCGAGTAACAACAAGCCCAGAATGATGAACGCGAGCGAAAAGTACTCAAGAACGCTATCAATGCCAAGGTCTTCGAAGAATCTCTATTGCAGCTTATCGTTAACAACAATCTTCCACATAAGTTAGTGGAGTATCCGGAGCTATACTCTCTGATCACGAGTGTCAATTATATGGCAGCAGATGTTTACCCAAAGTCTCGAGCCATGATACTAAAGAAAATGGACCACTCCTTTGTACGGACGAAAGCTGAAATAAAACAACAACTCCACTCCGCACTTTCTGAGATACATCTCGCCTGTGATGTCTGGACAACTGAGTATAAGAAGAAGGCTTTCCTAGGCGTTGTTGCGCACTTTGTTGATGCCAAAGGGAACTATCGCAAAGCTCTTTTAGGCCTACCACAGTTGCTCGGAAGTCATGGCGGTCAACCCAAGCAGAGCATGTGAATAGGATGATAGACTGGTATGAGATTGCTCATAAACTTGGATATTATACCGGTGACAATCATGGCTCCAACGACAAGTGCTGTCGCTTTATCTCAAGCCATCTTCAGCAACGATATCAAGTTGATTGGGATCCAGAGGTTCACCGGATTCGCTGCCACGGCCACGTCATCAACTTGGCTAGTCAAGCTTTCATTTTTGCTCCTGATAAAGAGACGATTGATGCGGTAGTGAATAGCATTAGACAAGAAGGGAGGTCTCTAGATGAAGACGATCTGAATGGTAGTTTTGATGAGGATCATGAGTATGATGAGGAGGCCAGGCTTTCAGCAGCGTCAAAAAAGAAGAAAGGGCTTAGTTGGAAGGATGCTGGGCCGCTGGGAAAGCTTCACGCGATTGTCGCTTATATGAGAAGTTCTGAACTTCTACAACGAATTCCTTAATGCTGTGGGTCGCATGATACCTATGGACAACGATACCCGATGGAATAGCTGGCATACTATGAATATAGTTGCTTGTGAGCTTGAAGGTCATGTCGATACCTTTGTCAAGAACCACTGGAAGGCGATCGGGAAGCACGCACTTACACCTGACGATTGGGAGACTCTGCGCGAGATTATCGTCTTTCTTGAGCCTTTTGAGACTTTTGAGAAAGTTACGACGGGAACTCAATCCGACCTTGATTCCATTGAGAAAACCTTGGTAACAATGGACATCCTTGTTAAGCACTTAGAGAAGCAGAAGAACAAGCATGCAAACAATGCCCAGTTTCAAAACGCAGTTCTAATGGCTTGGTATTCCTTCGACAAGTACTACAGCCTGACCGATCAGGTACCAGCTTATGCTGCAGCTTTGCTTCTGCATCCTTCAAGGCGGAAGCGCTATATTGATATGAATTGGAAGAAGTCTTGGGCTAGAGCAGTACTGCCAAAGCTCAAGAATCTCTGGGAAGAGAAATATGCTGTGATCGACGAAGCTAGTGCTCTAACCTTGTCGCAACCGACCTACGAGCCGGACGAATATGATCTTCTAGAGCGAGATCTAAACGTGGTTCAAAAGTTCGCCGACGATTGGGAGTCTTTCATCGAAGCCGATCCTACCGAGATCTCTACTAAGACTGCGCTGGAATGGTGGTGTCAAGAGCAGCAACGAACACGATACCCACGACTTTCTCATATGGCAATTGATGTCCTTTCCGTACCAGCGATGTCAGCAGAAGCAGAGCGAGTCTTCTCGGGCGCGCGACGTCAAATACCATGGAGCAGGGCCAGCTTAGGAGCGAAAACAATTGAGCAGATGGAGTGTCTAAAACACTGGCTACGGAAGGGCTGGCTTGACGAACTCAACGTCGATCTACCTCTGGAAGAAGGCGAGATAGAAGTAGCAGACGAAGTAGGGGCTGAATGCAGCGGGTTGCAAGAGACGATGGATTTCACTTAGAAAGCCTTATCGTTCCTAGCCAAGGACCTCAATATATTCAATATTCTCAATATGTTTTCAATATATTCAATACTCAATACTCAATACTCAATACTCAATACTCAATACGGACTTTTTCAATATTGATCTTTTTCAATATGAGGTCATATTGAGTATTGAATACCGAATACAGCACTGCCCACGATGTCATCGGGCTTCATAGCGGAGGCTATGGGCTGCTCTTGGGGCAAGCATTGTTTAGCTGTACGAGAGTAAGTGAACTTTTGCCAAATTTGGAACGAATCTGACCTTGTCGGGTTAGTTGTACACCGACTGGGCTACTATGACAATGAACGATACCCAGCTTATCGTCGTCCCTCTAACTATGCTCCCATCGGAGAGGGTAGACAACCCAAATCCTGACGATGTCAAGAAGGAAAAGCAGAAAATTGTCAATCTGATCGTTTCCAAGTCAAACTTGGACATTTACAATTCACCCGAGGCTTGGTCGCTTTTCAAGGAACTAGGCGGCGATGTCATGATCAATGCATTTGCATGTAATTTCATGGTTGATGGAGTGCCTAACACGGATGTGGTAAGTCCCTGACCCTTTCTTTGATCAGAAGAGACTCTGGAAGCTAACAAAGTCAAAGATCGAGGCCAACCAGCTCAACACGAGAATCTTCAACAAAACGTCGCTCTCCTCAACCAATGGCGGTGGCGAAATCGACATGCCCGAATTTTTCCTTACCTCTAGTGTGCTTTCCCAAGCTGACTATGGAGCTTGTTTGGATAAATTCAAGTCAAGGATGGGTCTTTCAGGTCCACAAGATCTGTATGTTCTTGTGAATGTCACTATGAGCCCATGGGCAACAACAGGTGCGCAATCGATCCTCAATGACATGGTGGGTGATTTCAAGACGATCGCGGAGAAAGAAGTACAGGCAAGTAATTTCCAATTCCCCACATCATACACAACTAATAGATGTTCAGACCTCTATCGACCGAAACGCTGTCAAACCTCAAAAGCATGACTTTGTCATGCAAGGCACAGATACACTGTACCTAGTCCACCTGCCAAAATTCCAACTAGCAAGCCACCGGTACCAGCTCGTGATGACAGGAACGCTAGACTCCTCAGCCATGCAGCAATACGCCGCCCAGAGAAAGGAGAATCCTAACGACTACTTCCTGCTTGAAAACGCAACAGACGCAATACTGGACGATTTAACCGCATCAGGAAGCCAGATCGCAATCAGCGTCTTCAAGGAATCCGACACGACTCAAAAGCCTGTTATCCAAGGCACCCTGACCATCGGCGACCTTATCGTCAAGAAATCTCTCCTAGGGGGCGCCCTAGACCCAACCTTCCCGTCACAGATGCCGTTCCACCTCTACGCAGAGTTGTCAACAATCAAGCCAATCTGCAATCAGGCCAAATGTGGCCCCTGCTCACTAGCCTTGTCGATCAGCCACGGGCCTATAAGAGAGACGTGCCACCCCTCTATCTAGGTATAGCTGTACCTGTATATTTTAGGCCGCTAGTAAGCAGGGGCCACATTTGGCCTGATTGCAGATTGGCTTGATTGTTGACAACTCTGCCTCTACGGCACCAGCCAGCAACAGCACATCGAGCACATGCTGCTCTGCGCGCCTCTAGCGTCCTGGAACCAGCAGCTAAACAGCGACCAAGTGTCTCTGAGCCTCGACAACGCTTTAGCAGAGACCGACTTGGCAGCCGGTGTATGCGCCGTGTTCACTACTGTCTTCGAGCAGGCCATGCAGCCCATGTGAGTACCCTGCTCCGCAAACCCCCTTCATTTCCCAGCAAGAGCCACCTACTAACGCGTGCTCCGCAAGGCAAATCGAGCCCGAGAAAGAGAGTCACTCCCATTTCATCGTCCCCGATGTATTCGCCTTCCAAGCCACCCATGCGTTCCCTATTTCTGTCTACAAGACCTACGCTGATGCACAGGCGGGCCGGAACAAGCTCGCGGAAGGCATGCTGACGCTGGGATTGAGCTGCTATGCGGATAATGTTGATATTGCTTCGACAGCGGTGCCGCCAAGCGTTCTGCCGAGTCCAGCGCAAAAGCATGGGCTGGCGAGGACGCCGTTTAATAGTGCGCTTCCTGCGCTGCCGAATGAGATCCCGTCGGCGGATGGGGCGGTTGAGTATTTGAATAAGCGGCGGGCGCTGGCGATTAGGCCGATTAGAGAGGAACTTGTGAGGAGGTTGAATAAACAGGTGTGAGCGAAGATCGGGCGAGTGTGAGGAGTAGTTGGGCAGGCACTGAGATATCGGTATAGGCTTGTATTGAGACGAATCCTTGAGGAGCTATCAAGCCTCTCAGAGGGATGATATATACCTACGTCACGTGATTGTGGCTGGTGTGAGCCGACGGTGCCCCGAAGGGTTCCCGGTGGCTCACCAGTCTGTGGCTGGAATCCTGTGGTGATAGAGCATCGTGACAGCGAGAGAGGTGGTGACTTCCGTTTTTCAACTTTCTTTTTGATTCTTCCGTCGATTGATTGGATGTCATTGAATCACGACAGTGTTAAGAGAGGACAACATCAATTCGTGAATCTTTACACTCTAATGATCATCACTTTGCCCATCCCCCTAGTATATGATGCTACGTGAATCGACCCCTAATACATCCTAGACAGGCAATTACGCACCCTAACCCAAAAACACGCGTATGCAACGCGGATCAGATGCTGATTTACGCCTGTTATAGTCTAGCGCGAATTGCTTCCTTAATTTCCGCGTTTTAGTGCTAACGTAAGCCTCCTGAACCATTATTGTCACGATGTTCCAACACCACAGGTTCCAGCCACAGGCAGGCAAGCCACCGGGGACCCTTCGGGCCACCGTCGGCCCTCACCAGCCACGATCACGTGACGTAGGTATATATCATCCCTCTAGGAGTCTTGATAGTGTGATGGGCTGGAGCCCAGTTGGTGAATCCTCAATGATATCTCGGTCACGTGCGCGAGGCGCACTGTCCACAGATTCCGGGTGCCCCCCTGAGCACCCGGATTCTGTGCAAGCGAGCCCGGCCGAAGGTTATCCCGAGCCGCCGCCCCCTGAACGACCTTCAGAACCCTAGCTACCTGTAGTTCTCTTCTCTATCGAATACCACTCCAGTATGGGGCGAGATACGGCCCGAAGCAACATGCAAATACCTGGGCTTAACGATGGACGCGAAACTGCACTGGAAGCAACACACCGAGGAGATCAGGCGGAAAACGACGAAGACAGTGAATGCGCTCAGCTGTCTGGGAGGATCCAACTGGGGCGCTAGCCTCCACGACCTGCGGCGAATATACGAAGGCACAGTGCTCCCGCAGATGATGTATGCATGCTCAGTGTGGTCAAACGCTAGCATAAAAGGAAAACTCTACACTAAGAGGATGCTCAACACACTGCAGAGCATACAAGCAAGAGCAGCCAGGGTCATCAGCGGGGCATACAAAGCTACATCAAGAGCGGCACTAGACGTAGAGACATTTCTCCTCCCCATCGAGCAGCAAATATGGAAGCACAACTCATACACTATCGTCCGCCTACTCTCGAGCAAGAACATCGCAGCCACCTCAGGATTTCAGACAAACACAGCACAGCCGACAGTCCCAGACAAGACTCGCAGACACACCAGCTCCTGGCAGAAGGTCTACAACGACATAACGAGCATGCGAACCCAAGACTTCGACAGGCAAGAGCAGATTCCGTGCTTCCTCACGCCGCCCTGGAGACAGGGCCCAACCACTTACATTGATGCGACCGCTGAGGAAGCACGGGCGCGACACGACAAAGAACACGTAAAGGAAGACAGCCTTAGCATCTACACAGATGGCAGCGGCATCGAAGGCGAAATAGGCTCTGCGGCACTGTGTCCGCTCACACAACAGGCGCGATCCGTACACATGGGTTCAGACATAGAGTCGACGGTATATGCAGCAGAACTACAAGGCATCAGCTTAGCACTGCAGATCGCTCAAGAGTATGCGAGCCGAAACGGTGCGCGACGAGACGTCGCCATATACACAGACAACCAGGCCGCCGTCTGGTCCATCGCTAAGGCGGAGGGACGATCAGGCGCCTACATCCTCGCGGACATCGCGCGACAGGTCCGGGAGCTCCAGGACAACGGACGGACAGTGACCGTCCGATGGATACCGGCCCACGTCGGCATACCCGGGAACGAGGCCGTCGATAAAGCGGCCAAGGAAGCCACCGGATGGAGAGAAGACGGCCGCAGAAGCTTGCCGGCAGACGCGCCTCCCCAGCTGTTCACTATAAAGTCGACTGTAAAAAGATGGTGCAGCATACAAGCCGAACGGGCATGGATAGCAAAGTGGCGCAAGGACACCAAGGGCCGAGCAACCTACAGACACACTCCAACGCCCACCAAGAAAGTACTCCGGCTCCACGAGGGGCTCACTAAGCGGGAGAGCGCGCTGCTGGTGCAGCTGCGGACAGAGAAGATCGGACTTAACGACTTTCTCTTCGCCCGAAGAGTGCCAGACGTCACCAGCCCGCGCTGCGACTGCGGAGCGAGACGACAGACCGTCGCACATATCCTTCTCCACTGCAGCAAGCACAGTCATCTCCGGGACTGTATCTTCGCCAACCTGTCCGGACGAGACAACATCCGGACCATCCTAGGCACGCCACAGCTAGCCACCAAAGCCATCGAGTATGTAGAGCAGACGCAGATCCTTGGGCAAAATGGGGATCGCAGGCGCGAAGACGATAGCTGAGCGCTGGGGGGAGACTGAAGGTATTGCAGACGCAGAACACGAGGCAACCGTGCCTCTACGAGCCTAGAAGTACAGTGTTCAGTTAGTAGAGCCATTATCTAGATGAGCGGACAGGCAAATGTAGATAGTGGTGGGAGGGAAACGGCAGGCCTCTGGGGACAGATGGTTCTTTGGAATGAAGTGGGGCGGCGCGGATCAACGTCCGCACCGCGTCGGCTGTCTGCCAAGCCTGTCAGCCGGGCATAGCTGCTTTTCGCGGCTGCAACCGTGTAGGATCTAATCAAATCAAATCAAATCGAGTACGTTAGATACATAGTTACGTAAAAGAAACGTTAGATTCCGACTCATTCAAACCCCCAATTCCCAACCACCGAAGAAGAATCTTCTAGTAGCAGAAATCTCCAAAAATTTAGGAGATCTCTCTTGATTCTTTCCGCAACTATGAAACCCTCCTGAAGTATGTGAGTCAGTAACTTTATAACTTCAATCCTTGTCGCTGCATCTGTAGCGTGCACGCCGGCTATTCGCAAGGCAAACAATATCAATACTCCAGGAACATTCGGTGACGCGTTGATTTGTCCGGCCAATACTAGTATGGCTCGGACGTGGTCGTCGATGCAACCTTCTGCCAATGAAGGTATTACCTGATCCTCCCAGCACCCATAATAGCTATATATCTGAGCAAGATAAAGCACAAGGGCATGGTAATCAATGCTGGCCAGCTGGGAAGAGGCGTTGTCAGGTATCGAACGAGTCATGGATACGTAGTGCCACCCACTTAGTTTCTGACCTATTACAACACCTCCGAACGCAAGAGCCTGTATAGCTGGGTGAAAGGGTCTTCGATGTTTGGGGATGCTCTCGATCTGGTCAAAGAAGCTACTCACTTTTAGTCGCCTGCGCTCAAGTTCCGTATAAGCAGATCACTGACCGTTTGCTAAAAGAGGCCATCTGTATCTTCAATACTAGAATGGCCTCCGTAGGATCAGAGAAAATGTTTTCTCTAGCAGTTATACCTGGCTGGCTAAGCAACCACACAGGCTGCGAGAGGCAGGTGCCATTTCCAAACAGAATGGCCCTGTTCGCTTCTAGTACTCGAAATGCATCGACCAACTTCCGGCGAAGGTAGGCCCATGATTGGACAGGGCCATTAAGTTGCAGCAATCTCAACATTCCGAGCAACATGTGCTGAGCAAATCGCTCTCCAGATGTTTCAGATATCAGCTGTTTTGAGACGTTAGCCTACAAACACGCTCATTGTAGCGGGTGATATCTTACTTCGAACAAGCCAAGAAGAAACGAACCCCAAAGTACATCTTCGAAGTGTAATGCTTTGGTAATAGTCAATCGGGATCGAAGTGCAGCTATTGCTCTGCCATAAGATTTAAATGCGACGACCTGAGCTGTTCTCGATTCATAAGTCTTGCTGCAAGAGACTCTTCTACTTGCCTCTAACGCTCCAATCGCAACAGCAAGGTTGTGAAGCAAAGGAGAAGTATAAATGAGAGAGATCAGGTCCGAATCGACGGATACAAAGCCACTTGTGAACTGACATCGACGGATGAAGGCTGCAAATAGATCCAGGTAGACGTCATCATCTTGCCTGCTCAATTGCGATGGCATGGTTGAGGATACTGGTGCGATTTCCGTTACCGCGATGAATTTGATCTCACCATGGACCACAGTCTGTGGGAGACAGTCTTTATCGTTTCGAACACAGTATCTGCATGGAATGCCCCCTTCGCACTATTGCCGGCCACATCAGCTTGGGCACAGCTTATGGTTTGGAGTTCGTACCTTGATACGCCTCGAAAGACAAGACTGACATCGTGTGACCTTTTTCCGCTTGTCTAAATGTCCAAGAGGCCGCTTTCGCGCCTTCATGTTTATGAGGGAGATCTTCGCCTACCACAACGGAGAGCTATTAAAAGATTTTGCAAATTCGATCGCAAAGGGTGGTCGCTAACTTCAAATGAAGCGCAATAGGTCTTGCTAGATGATGTGGATGTCGGCCTCTTATCCATAGGAGAATGTAGGCTAGATCAATTGTGAACCAAGATTTTGCCGCTCGTGTTTCGTGAAAGACATACGCTCCCTATCCGAAAGTGGTTTGAGTCAGGGTGACCATGCGCAGATTTGATATTTATGTCGTAGGTATTGAGGACGTTCGATGGTATGGCAGAGTCGATATGCGGCGGTGGTATCTAGCCACACTTGGTGAGCGGACGCCAAAAACAGAACAAATTGCAGTGCGAAAACTCCACCTACGTGTGGAGAACCTATGGTAGAACAAATGATTCGTGATCGGAGCATGGGATTGAAATGCAACCGTCAGTGTATGGCTCTGGACACACAGTCCGTATAACGCTATACTGTTGTTGCAATGGCACTGCTAAGTGTCGAGATGCTGGACCGCACTTTCATAATCAGCTCCAGCCGTGTTTCCGTTGTGAGCTCGCTAGCGATGTTTGTAGCCTCCAAAGAGCGAACGACGTACCGAAAGCGGCATCCGCATTTTCTCTTGGTATCGCAATAGCATAAAGCTTACGAAAACCCGACCTGATCTGCCACGCAAATCATAGCATGCGGCTGAACTGTTTGAGCGGGCGGATGATTTTGTAGGTCGTTGTGAGCGGATACGAGAGGGGCATATTTAGCGATGACGCCACGAAGACTTATGAAAGCATTGCTGCGTCCTTTGTGCTTAGTGCGATGTTTTACGTCCGGCTACGCGAGCGCTAACGAACAGGGCTCTGCCTCGTGATCTGCCCCGCGCGCTTGATTACCTCCTAATCTGTTTAGGTTTGCGAGAATGCGCCTTTCCCGATCTTGATCTTACAGTCGGCGGGGTTACCGATATCCCACTAGTTGCGCATCCAAGGTAAACCTTGTTGCGTGTAGTGCCTTAATTCAAATAACAACTAACGTACTCCACAAGCGAGTGTCACTCCCAAGCGAGCGCCACTGTTCTGCCAAGACCCTACTAAAATCTTTAATTATACTATAATGCCTTAATATAACAACATAAAAAGGGTGTCTAACGAAGCAGATATACAGCTTGCCTTACAGGCTATCTAAAAAGACGCGACAATAACGCTGCGACGTGTTGCACCGATCTTTAACGTCTGTAAAAGAACCCTATAATAACAACGCGACAGCATGTCACGGGGTCGACAGGCAGGAAGGATAGGCGCACGTGATTGGTGTATTCACTACGTATAGCTGACAGTGCCGGGTCAGGCTAAGACAAGGACGTAGCTCAAGGAGCTTACGACAGGACGCGTTCGCGCAGGAATTTCAGCGATCGCGCAGCTGCTCGCTTAGCAGCTTAGCGCGCTCTAATAGGCTATCTAGATCAGCGCCGTGACACAGCAAGCCCTCTTAACGCGATTGCGCGCCTAATTTAGTAGCTCTTTGAGGATCTAAAGAGGTAGCAATTGTTAGGCATGTTTTAAAGCTAGCAGAGTAAGGATACCTGCCCTAGCTTACTAACGTTAAAGTGTAAGGGGCTACGCTCAGGGAGCTATCGCACAGGTATACTGGAGTTGTATTCGATAGAGAAGAGAACTACAGGTAGCTAGGGTTCTGAAGGTCGTTCAGGGGGCGGCGGCTCGGGATAACCTTCGGCCGGGCTCGCTTGCACAGAATCCGGGTGCTCAGGGGGGCACCCGGAATCTGTGGACAGTGCGCCTCGCGCACGTGACCGAGATATCATTGAGGATTCACCAACTGGGCTCCAGCCCATCACACTATCAAGACTCCTAGAGGGATGATATATACCTACGTCACGTGATCGTGGCTGGTGAGGGCCGACGGTGGCCCGAAGGGTCCCCGGGTTTTTCAATACCGAATACACCACTGCCTGGTATAATGCGAGTATGGGCGCGCTCGGATGAGAAGTACGATGACGACGTCCGCCACGACCGCAACCGACAAGACTGTTGCTTACAATTCTTTAGAGCTTTTAGATACGACTACAAAGGTCCTTGTCATGTATACTTTCATGAGACTCAGCAGGAGAAACAGGAGAAACAGGTGGCGGAAGAGCTACTCGAGAAGGAGAATGCATTCACTCGAGCATCCTCGAACCACATGCAAACAAGAGCACGCGCAGCACTACGAGAGCTTGGAGAACTAGATATCAACCTCCGCAACTATACCCAGAAGCTTCAGTACGTCAAGAAACATGACTATCATCGCGGCATTAAGTCAAGAGGTGGGGTAGATGGATACAGGCATCGTGAAAGAGCTCTCAAGAAGGTCGCCCTATGGATCAATTCACTTAAAACTCGAGGTATCCCTTGTGTATTACTTGAAGATGGAGCCCCACCTCATAAATCTCGAATTGCCAACGACTACCTACGCGTTGAGCGGATTGAAAAGATATCCTGGCCTGGCCACGGTCCTGATATGAATGCATCTGAGCACAGTCCGCAACAAGCAAGCGATAGACAGATTGATTACCGCATTAGGCGTGGCACGAGCCAGACTGTGGTCTTTTTACGCCTAATGCGATAATCAATCTGTCTATCGCTTGCTTGTTGCGGACTGTGCCCACATGAAGGTTTGGGGTATACCCATTTACCAGCATAGGACCAGGCTACAGTCCCGGTCCACTTTCGTATATTCGTTTCTGTTTGACGTTGCGCCCCATCGACCGCCTCCCAGTTAAGCTAGGACCGGCGCTTCGATATCCGTCATTGCTCACCCCCTGATTTCGCTGCTAGTGATGGCGGTATGAGAGTCTTGGTCATGCTTGCCAGAAAGTCTCGCACCGCGCTTGCGAGCAGCGGTTGCTCCCACGCTTTCATAGCCATGCTGATGTATCGCGAATCTGCCGGAACGTTTCTGCTCATGTATAGTAGCGCCATACCCAGTGGAAAAGACATAGTCGTCGCACCTGTAAGGCCGTGCTGTTCTTGGAAGAAGTAAGGCGCTGAGCGGGCGATGAGTCGAGCGTACTTCCGTGGGTGTGGTCGGTCGCTGTGCTCGGTCGACCAGTCGTCTTCAGGTGAGATACCGCTGGCGGTGTCGAGGTGGGAGTAGATAAGTAGTGCTACTACCCAGTATCGGAGCGTTCCGCATGCGCACTCAAAATGTGGAAACGATATTGGCTTGATGGTATTGATTCTATCGAAACAGTCGGGCGCTGTTGGCGTGTAGATCGCTCTTGGGTTGGCGACAAGCCAGTCTTGCAGCTGGTGGTGGAGCGTCCAGGCCTTGGCGACAGTATGCCTGCGAAGCTCTCCGGCTTTCGACTCACTGAAGGCTGATGAACCTAGAGTTTCCACTGCTTCCCTGAGTTCGGGCACACCGCAAAATATGTCGACCAGAGTGTCGTTCACCGTCTTGACTCGGCTCCTCCAAGGCAACGTCTTCCACTCTTTGTTGTTCAGCACAGTCGCCGTTCGGGTGCGAACCGCGCTGACTACGAGCCTGAACCGAGTGTTGACGAACATCGAGTGAGCCGTATCGGTGTATGAGTATGCTTCGGCATCACGGCCGAGGATCAACGCGGTCTCGCCAATAGCATGGCTAAGCCAGCTCTTTGCTCGGGCGGGCGAGCTGGCTTCAGCACCGAAGAGAACCTCGAACAGCGCCATGATCCGAGGCACCATAAGTGCGGCTTCACTCTTCGCTCGAGAAGAATCGCGCAAAGCGGCCGCTGTCTCTGATAGAGCCGCACCGTACAGTACTCTACCCTGCCGGGTGAGAGCTTCGTCGCCAGTCGATTGTCCAAGCGCCGCGGTCCCTATGGCCTGAACAGCAAGTTGTAGGGCTTGGTCGCGGACAGTGAGCAGTGAAAGCATGTTAACAAACTCTCTTCCCTCTGCGTCTGCAGCTGCTAGCCTCCCACGAGGGAGGTACATCTGAATGAATGTACTCATGACCTTCTCGGTGTAGGCAGACCGCGCAAAGGCGTCCGGCAGAATAATGGACGGAGGTTGACGCGGGTTCCATACCTTCGACTCTAACACGGACCCGACTGGCAACATCTGATTTCTCTGGAGCGGCTGAGAGGGGGTCGCACCAGTGTCAGGATTGGGAACTGGCTTTTTCGCGGCAAAGTCGTTTCCTCTGCCGGTTTGATAGACAAAAATGCGGTCTAGATCGTAGCCTCCACAGGCTGTATCCCGTCCTTGGCACTGTCTGCATTCCGGTCGTTGGAGGTCGCACTGTTGCCGCATCAGCATTTGTTGTGCGAGCTTCATTCGTCAAGCTATCAGTCTCTTACTCTCTTCTTCCTCTTCCGGCAAGTCACGCATCCTCTGGAGCGCCCAGATATGCCTACCATGTTGCGTAACGGAGCGGACGAGTCCCAACTCTATCAGTGGAATTTCTGGGCAACTATTGCGAATACGACTAAACACAGCGCAAAATACTCTCGTTACGGATGCGTTCCGACTGTAAGACATCTGCAAAAGGATCAGCGAGTAGAACTACTGTGGTATATGTCGTCTATTGGGGGCTTTTGCGACTGGTAGATGAAAACAAAGTGGGGCACTGCGATTAGGTCGGAACGAATGAACAAAGAGCGCTATGCTCCTTTCGGACAAACTTGCGACGTAATGACGCGGCAAGGCGCACTAGAAAGGCAGCGTCACCTGGGAAACCCAATGCACTGGACGCGTTGACGGAAAATGTATAGGCATCTGCCAAGGTATCAATGACACAGGCTTGCACCTCTTCTGCGCGCCCTACGGCGTGGCTCCCACCAACTGCAGCGCACGTAGAACGTCCTATACCCCGGTATGTCCTTCAAATGCACAAATGATTGTCCTGATGCAAAGTTCAGTGTGACCTTTTGGGGGTACAAGTCTTCAATTACTCTTGGTTCAGGCATTGTTTACCGTAGTCCACGGTCAAGAGATATTGGGAGCTGGAAGATAGTTGGTGTCCCTTGCTTAAAGAGATACCGACTACCTATTGCTAATGGTGAGGACCTGTTGCAGTGGGGACCTCCCAACGTTGTTGAGCGACAGTCGTTGTTACGGTTCAGTAGTTTACTTGTTGGTTGGTTGCTACGTCATACAGCCAAACGTCAACATCTACACAACATTAACACAACATCGACATTGGCATCTACCGATGTACTGCTATGCTCTGTGGCATGTAGCATGACCAAGTCATTCCTCCAATGATCCTTGTCCGCGTGTCCCACACGGGCTGCGACAAAATCACTCTCACAGGCCTGTTAGCCTTCGAACGAATAGCTAAAGTAACCTCCCTCCCTGCGCGACGAACAACCTGGTGGGCCGATGTTAGCCAATGAGACGTAGCGTAAGGTCGGGATATCTGCAACTCTTGCGCTCTCATTGGCCGACTTCGGCGCACTGGGTTGTTCGTCGCGTAGGGAGGGAGGTTACCTCCGCATGATACTAGAAGAGGAGTTTCAGAAAACGCGAAATTTGTCGCTGGCCTGCAGGAGTCGCCGGTAACGTGTTGTGAGCACTACTGCGTCTTGGACGATGGCGAGGCTAGAAGACAACATGACTTCAGTACACAACTGTAGCGAATCAGGGTGGATCGTGCCATACCCGTACAGGCGTATTCTGCGACGCGATCTAGCGTAACAGCAATTATACTAACAAGCATTGTGTCTGCCAAGGGCGAAAGGGCCTGTAATCGCCCTGACCGTAGCGCGACACCTTCTTTAGGGTTGCGAACTGCGGGAGACGTACCGCCCTAAGCACCTTCCATCTCGGAGACGGCTGAGCGGCCACCCCAAATCACCGCTAGTCACTAGTGCTTTCGCCGAGTGTCCTTGGGCCGCTGACGTGCACAATGTAGGTGCATCCTAGTTATTTGTCCGCCAGATTCACTCCTAAGGAGCAACCCGATCTGATACCATAAAGGTGTGCCGTATGTACCAACCAGATGATGTGTCCCAGTGCCTACAGATCTCTCGCATCGCTTCGGCGCTAATTAGTAGCGCCCAAAGAAAGCGACGCAGCGTGGCAAACGATAGTACATCTAGTAATAGCTTCAACCACGTTTATGGGGTCAACAAAAGTCCTTGTTACACGGTTCCTCACCGCACTGATGTAGGTGCGGCATCGGCTCATTAGAGTACCCCGCTTGACATGCTCAGCCCGCCTGACGGGTCCCGATTGCACGGACCTAGCGGCGGATGCGGGCTACCCCTTCGCTGTCCGGGTGTGCGGAACTTATGGCGTATGACGCCTGCAGCCGTTGAAGTGGAACAAGCGCCAGCAAAGTCAACACAGGTCTAATCGTGCATGCAATTTTTGGCTAGTGTTTCGCGACGTGAGGGCGAGAGCCAAAGATGTTCTCAGCTCGCCTCTGCGCTCTCTAACCTTTGCCGATCGCCCCCGCGCTAATCAAACTCTTATCCGATTTGCGCCACTCTACTTACAGACTTAATGTGCAACGACTAGGAAGCCACAGGCAGCCCCGTATGCACTGGCAACACAGATGCCTTGCCACTTGCGTCTAGCGCAGAGCAGGTAGTCTTCTGACTAACAAGCAGTGTGTTTGTTGGGAGAATGGCTCTTCCGGTAGTACGGACGTGCCTAGTTGCTTGGCAGGAGGAACTGCCGTCTTTATGAAGAAGGCATCCTGTCGACGTAGACTTAGTGTACTTATTCGATCTCACGCGTACAGCAATGTTCACATAGCTGTGTTACTTCCGACTTGCAACTTGCGGCTTGCAGCTTCCACTCGCCCACCTCGCGTATCGCACTAAGCAAGGCCACACTTGCTCGTAGCCACCTCCCAAGAGAGTCAGAGATTCCAAGTCTTGCAGAGCAAATCCGCCCAGAATGCGAAGCGAGCACCTATACGCATGTTGAGAATAGACAGTCAACCGCCCTTGAACGGCTAACGGCGTGAAGCTTAGTTTACTGTGGATGCCACACCCTGCGGCTTGAATTAACTTGATTGCGAGGTTTCATGGATGACCAAACAAATTCAGGTACCGCTAATCGGACAAGCTAGCGTACCGCGGAACCCGAGGCAGCACGACGGCCTGCGCGATTTGTGCAGATGGATAATGTTTGTCGCCTACGGGGCGGTGTTAGTGCGACATAATACATAGCAGCAGATGCTCTCTCGTCCTGGAACAATTGTGGAAGCTGTGGGTGTGGCGTTTTGTCTCCTCTTCGGAGTCAGCCCTGCCAGTCACAGTGCTAAGAAGAGCCCGTGACTCCAATCGTTTGGATATGTTTTCGAACGCATATCCGCCCAGGCAGAAAAAGCAGCATGAGTGGTAGTGCGAAGCAAGTGAACGGTCGGCAGCTGCCACTTATTCGTGCGGAGGATCGAGACATGTTGGCATTGTTGGGATCCCTGGAGGTACGGAGGGCTATTTGCGCAGGTAAAAGAGAGCAAAGGATAGACCCGTAATCCACAGGCAACAAGCGCAGTGGGGGGAGAAGACAGCGATAGCGTAGGCCTCGAGCATTCTGCTCGTTGCAAAATTCGTTGAATCGCCACTGAACCCTGCTTGGACGCGGAGCCTTTCGGACGTTCTTGAAAAGGCTCTGCTCCTTGAAGGATGTCTATATTTATTCGAATCTAATCTAACAACTATGTGTTTGAGCTAGAGCTACTATGCATAGCACAAGGAGATATCTCCCCTTGCTAGGCGCTTTTGATAGCTTACGTGGGCGTTAGTACAGACTTGTCACGTCTAGCCCGTCTGAAGTTCCCAAACGAAAAGGAGTGGAGCATCCGATCTAGGCATATACCTGGAGCTAAGGCGATTTAATTTTGTGGCGTCGGCGTTACAAGTCGAAGTCACTTCAGCCCGCCGAAAGTGCACGCCAGGATCAGAGGCAAGAAAGGAGACCAGAGCTTGTCCCCACGACGTAGGAGTGCCAATTAGAAAGAACGAGAATTTTATAGCACCAGGGAGAGATTCTACAGAAGACTCGGTGTACCCAAAGGTAGTCACTGAAGATGGAAACACGTGGCAAATCATTGGCCCATGGGGACGAGCTGCGACCAGGTTGATCTTGGAAGAGAGAAAATACGAATCTTCTTAATAATAGCTCGGCAGCGCGATACCAACTCATGGCATGCTAGTTACCGTCAAACCGCTCGTAGCAAACTATCAGCCGGAGATTACTTGGTAGTTCTGCGACATCCAGTCATGTCCTGTCGGAATGATGGTGGAGATGGATACACATAGACGATCGTCACGCAAAATGCTCCTTTTACGAATGAACCCTGTAACTGAAGCTAGTCCTATAACCCTAAGTCTAGCTAGTCTTATACTCCCTAAATGTACGGAGAAGCTCGTACTAGTTGAGTAAAGGATGCCGTAGGTCAGGATCGTTTTGTTCTCAGTTGCAGCTTGATCGGTTAGAGATTTCCGAAGACATATCGATTCTATAGCCTAACCTTCTGCCCCTGTCCTGCCGCGGTAAGCTGAACGGGCGTGTCGGGATGATCAAAATAAAAGGAGTAGTACATGTGCTCTAGCGACGGAGCTAAGCCTTTAATACCTGTACGCTGTTTTCATGAGACGTGCTACTTTTGTTCATTGTGACAGCGTGCGTTACTGTTAGGTCATAGTGTATTTCGAGCATCGCTGCGCGAATAAAAGAAGACTTATGCAGATGAGTGTAAAGCAAGCAAGGGTACTTCGAGTACTATATGCGGAAGGTCGAGAACCAGCTGTATATGCATAGACTTACTTCTAGCCTAGTACGGACATATGTCCGACACTCAAGTAGTTGATCGAGATGCCAACGTTGGCGGTGAGTAGTCTGGTCCGCGTACTGAAACACTACTAGCCCATATTTTGATTCAGGCGCGGGACGGGCCTAAATTACGCTTCTCCAGGGAAGCGGCTTCAATCGGTGAAATTGCTTGACACCGTTATTAGGGCACGCTAGTGTTCGCTGCCAAGATGTGCAACACCAGAATTGCTCTTCGGGGACGGCTGAGCTTGAACTTATCACGTGCGGTATGTCAAGTTAGTGTGGTATTTAAGATTGCCGTTGTAGCGGTTTAAAGGACTACGATATATCACCTTGTCTTTCGTTTCTTTCGCTACAAGCTTCTCATCCGGTGCCAGATTGTCTTGTCAGCAATTTGCTGCCATTGCCGTTCCTGTGTCTTCGCCAATCGGCACGTCCATTCTTTTACTAAGCCTGAATCACTATTTGTCTCCAGACATACTACTCGTGTGCCCTACACTACTACCACAGTCCTTACGTTTAGCGCAAACTTCGACCAGAGACACAAACGTAGCCTCTCGTCAAGATGAAGGTGCAATTCGCCCTTGTTTCAATGCTATTCTCGATACCTCCGGCCTTTTCTCACACCGCCTTCACGAACTTCTTCGTCAATGGAGTGTCTCAGGTAGGACGCGATCATCAACGTAACATGTTCTTGATTAACGTGCACTAGGGTGACGGTGTTGCCATGCGCATGAATCCAAATCCGGGAAGTGTAGGAAGCCCAATCGGCAGTCTTAACAGCAATGACATGGCTTGCAGTATGTTAAATCGCTGCATCTAGTATCGTTCTAATCTTTGCTCTAGATGTCGGCGGAACAAAGGGCGTCTCTCGCGTACAACCTGTCCCAGACGGTGCTCTTGTCACTTTCGAGATTCGCTCATCGGCAAACGACCCATCCAAGCATCGCCTGTCTCGCAGTCACCACGGTCCTTGCGCGGTATACTTGAAAAAAGTCGACTCTGCTATTAGAGATAAAGCTATTGGAGATGGCTGGTTCAAGATCTTCGACTACGGCTACAATGCATCTACTAAGAGCTGGTGCACCGACGAGATCATCAACAACAACGGTCTTTTCTCTGTTCGACTTCCTAAGAGCCTGCAAGGCGGGTATTATCTCGCTCGTCCTGAGATCCTGGCTCTTCACTCTGCTACTGCTGGCGATCCACAAGTCTACACTGGCTGCGCCCAGATCTTCGTTCAGAGCAATGGTGACCTCGGCCCCAAATCAACAGTCTCCATCCCGGGGCATATGAAATACGGGGAACCCAGCACGAGCTTCAACATCTACGTCAACAAAAATGCTGAATACCGCGTTCCAGGTCCAAGTGTCGCTAAGCTTGTCGCTAAAACCGGGCAAGCTGGGACACCTTCGCCAACCCAAAAGGAAGGTCTTAAACCCAAAGGTTGCATCGTCGAGAATGACAACTGGTGCGGCAAAGAAGTCTCATCCTATTCCGACCAGAAAGGTTGCTGGGCCGCGTCTAAGGAATGCTGGGCACAGGGCAAGACGTGCTGGGCTTCTATGTCGCCAACAGGCGGTGCCGGATGCCAACTATGGCAGAGGAAATGCCAGCGAATTCAGAACGCATGCAAAGCAAAGCGTTTTGTCGGTCCGCCTAACAAGGGCAAGATCTTAACGCCGAAGAGAAGAACGATTGATGTGGGTCTAGTTATGGCTAGCTAAGGTGGTGTCTCTTGCCGCTCTAGCCATGAATACGCCTTTATCTAACACTGCGTGTGGATCTTAGGCGAACATGCCCGCTCCTCTTGTAACTTCCGTCACGGCTTAAGTTAGATGCTGCAAGGTATCCAACGACACTGCAGCTCAGCCACTCATCTACATTCTCCTAGGCCTAGCTCTGACTCTATTTTCGTTGTATCTTTTGCGATCCGCAGTTTCGTTGCTGGCTAAAGCAACAGCGTCGTGCTCTAGACAAGCCTCACCGCCTCGCTTAAGCTTTCATTCGTGCGCAACGTCTGCTTCCCTGTCTACATGCTCTTCCGCTAGATGTAGTACACGACTGCATATCTAGTAACTGCGGGTCTTTTCCTTTGCTTAAGTTCTGCTTCTTCTTTTCTGTTCATCGACCTTTAAGCTGCTAGCTCAGCTTTCTCATTACACATCTATATTCTTGTTGGCACAAGCTATACCAACTAATTACATTCGCTACCTACATTATTTTATCCCTCTATGCATATTACATATGAACAACAGCCCTGGTGAATCTTTGTCCCTTCGCTTATCCACACGCGTAGTAACTTACCACAGACTCCTCTACCGACCATGCTCGTTCAGTGTGTCCAATAACCAAGTAACTTGGCTTGGTTGGTTGACTTTGGTTGACTACGTAACAAGCAACCACGAGTAAACGTCTATCCGAGCAACCACAAGTAAGGGTTTTCGCATTACTCGAGTCAACTCGGAGTTGGTTGACGACCTTACCGCATTAGGCATTTTTGTAGAGGAGGTGAGCGACCGGAGTTTTTTTGGGCATCGGGACAGGAAGAACTATTAGCCTGGATGTTCTGATTGGCTGGAAATTGCCGCTCTTGAGATTTGCTGTCGAAAACTCTCACGCCTGCAGCCTCTATGTACGAAACCGCCAGATTTCAGGTTAAACATGCCTACCCACCCATTTTTTCTGCCTCGTAGAGGATCCACGTGTTCCCCTCTACCTAGGACTCCCTCTGAATCCCTTAGCTATAACCTAGAAAACATAGAGACCCCGAGTTCTGTTTCCACCAATACTGCTGCCACCTTCGAAAGAGAGCTGCCGACATCTACTCAATGCCCATTCCCTATTGACTGGGACAAAATTCGCTATGAAAGGAAGGTGTTGCCATCGATTCGATATCGTCAGCCTCACAAGCGGGCCCTCAACTCTAAAACCCAGCCCTCGCCAATCTACAAACACGGTGCGCAGCTCACAACCGATGGAGAGAACAAGTTTTGGCTCTGCAAATACTGCCATCTTAGTGGCCAGCACGATTCTGCTCTGTACAGTAGTGAGAGTACTACTAGTATCATGTATCACCTAAAGAATCAACACAAACTTGAAGAATTCAGTTACAAAATGATGGCATTAAACCCGTTCGACATAGCCATGGGAGCAACGAGCTCCATACCATACCTTGGAGGCCGGCGCTTGATGTTCAACGACTCTCAGTTCAAGAAAGAGTTTATTGACTGGGTTATTGATCTTGACTTCACCTTTCGACAAGCGACACATCAACGCACTCGTAACATGTTTACTGGCTGCTTAGAGGATATCGATAAAATTCTACCTAAGAGCCCATCGACTCTTAGCACCTGGATTAAAGACATGTGGGACGGTGATACTGGGAGACGTGCTTGGCTAAAGGAAAGGCTTCATCTTGCGAAAAGCAAGATCCATATCTCAATTGATGCCTGGACGTCTGAGGAAGGAACAAACTATGTGGCAGTTGTTGCTCACTTCCTAGACGAGAAGCATAAGTTGCAAACAGCCCTTCTTGACCTCCCGCCTCTAAAAGGCCCACATTCTGGAGAGAACATTGCGAAATTGCTGTCAACGGTTATCGACTTGTACGATATATCCGCTGTCATTGGCTTCTTTATGATGGACAATGCTGGCAATAACGACACGTGTATTGGAGAACTAGCAAAGCAGTACCCCACAATCACACAGCAGAGTCGCCTTCGGTGCGTTGGCCATATTCTAAACCTCATCGTCAAAGCTCTTCTCTTTGGGACGGGGGTTAGCAAGTTGGAGAAAGAGCTCTGTGGCGCATCTGATGATGAGCGGTTTGAGATATGGAGGAAGCAGAGTTTTATCGGTAAGCTCCATAATTTCTGTGTGTGGATCAACCGGAGTGATCAGCGGCGGGAGTTTCTGAGAGAGTATATTTTGCAGGCGTACGATAGAGGCAGCATCGAGAACCTTTACACTAGGGTACTGGCTGACGGTGGCGTCCGCTGGAACTCTGTGTATGCCATGATTGAGAGAGCTCTTAAGCTCCGTAACGCAATTGATTTGTTCTTTCTCCACTATAATCATAGTGGTGAAGGATACGATATCTCACAGGACGCCATTACTCAGCGCGATTGGACTAATCTGGAGCACTTCTTCAATATCTTGAAGCCGTTTAAAGATCTGACCAAACGCATGGAAGGCCGGGCCAATAAAGCTGGCCTTGAAGGATCACATGGCTCACTCTATGAGACACTCGAGTCGCTTGACGTCCTCTTTAAGAAGCTTCAGGAAGCCGGAAAGTTCGCAGACAATCACCCCGAGGAGGTTTCGGAATACTATTCCTGTGCCATTGATACTGCCCGCCTCAAGCTTGAAGAATACTACGGCCTTACGGACGCTACGCCAGCGTACCGATGCGCTGTCGCCCTCCATCCTGCGAACAAATTTAGCTATTTCGACATCGAATGGCAGCATGAGAAGAAATGGATTACTGAGGCGAAGCAGTGATCTTGCTGGACTGGACTGGACTGGATTCAGGGTTCGGATCCAGTCCAGTCCGGTGCAAGGGCTCTGGGACTCCTGGAGCGCCAGTGCAAATCCAGTTCTCACAATTGCTTAGTAAGTAACCTTTTTCAATGGAAAAGGCCAGTCCAGTGGCCGAATACACATTTATTCTACACTATATACTGCGTCATGGACATCCACAATGTCCATACTGGTTCCATCAATATCGTCCTCGTCCAGAAGATCGTCTTGGTCCACGATCTGAAGTTCCGCGCCGTCCATTTCGGTATCAGCATCACCCCACCCTGCTGCCCAGTTTCCTGAGGGTTAGGCTCACCTTCTAGTCTCCCGATGCCTTCGTCGTCGAAAGTATTCCGTGTAGGTGGTTCATACCACGACCGAAGGCACTCGCTAGCTTCGATAATATCCATCTTGAGCCTCGAGCGCCGGTCGGTAAGCAGCATCTTTGCGCTGCTGAATAGCCTCTCACACTCATCGGACATTGGTGGAACAGCTAGTACGTCGAGAGCCATACGTGCTAGATCAGGTTGCGAGTAGTAGCGATCATTCCAGTACTGGATAACGTCAAACGAGTCATGTTCATCGAGCCGGATGACGTCTTTCTCAAGAAACTGATCGAGGAGATCGATAGCGGGTATTTCAGGTGCTGATGCCTCATGGCGGAGCTTAAGCCGCTTATGGCTTTTAATAGCTGCAGAAGCCTTCTCTTTCTTAGCCGGAACAGCTGGCGTTAGGGCTGGGGTAGCAGACGCCTGCTTAGTAGAGTATCTACCTCGATACTCTTCTAACCAGAACTCCTTAACAAGCTCTTTCACGGTTAAAATCCATGGCCGCCTAACTTCGTCCGTCCAGGTCTCGATGTACCACTGATGTTTAAGAGTTGGATTTAGAGAAATGGCGGTATAGTATGCTGGCGTATTATCCGCTTTTTTGAAGTATTCCTCGGCCTTACTCCAGGAAACTTCAGCTGCAGCGGCAAGAAACGCGAAGTCATCTGCTTCAGTTGCAAGAGCTCTACGGCCATGTTTCTTCAGAACCGCCTCTTTGTGGAGCTCTTCAAATTTAATCTTAGCCTGCTGAATCTCATCTAGCAGCCAGTCAAGCGTCTGAAAGTGATCCGCTAGTGTTGACGCCCTGCCTTCCGTAGATAGGGTTCCATCATAGAACGTCTCAAGCTGGTCGTGAAGGTGCGCAAGTTCCTCCCACTGTTGCTTAGAAAGGCGGTCTTGAATGAGGGTTATCTGGCCCTGGCCAGCCTCGTACTGGTCACAGAAGATCTGAATTCGCTCCTTCACGTTTAGAGCTCTACCGATCGAGGTAAAGTATGAATTCCAGCGCGTCTGTTGGCTCTGAATAATCTAGAGCATGTTAGCTCTAATTTCCGCCTAGCAGGTGCCAGCTCACCTCTAAGCTGTCAAACTCTGATAGCTCCCCTCCACATATAATTGATCTAAAGAACTGACGGCGCTGAGGGCTTGCTCGTATATATCGAATAATATTATGAAGCTTTCCGATAGCGCCGCGCTTCCGCCAGAGCTCCTTAATTCTCTTCATATCACCCTCCCTATACGCCGCGTCCAGATCTTTACAGACTTTTTCAGCGTCCTTTCCGATGAGAAAAGCCTACGCACATAGGTTCACGATATGCCCAAAGCAGCGGAGGCGCCGGCGCCTTCGCTGCTTCTCTGACAAATTTGGGTAGAGGGCCTGAAGGACGGAATTGATACAGGTGTCATTAGTGGACGCGTTGTCTGCCATAAAGTAGCCGATCTGGCCAGTAATCTTGTAATCTTTCATCACCTGCAAAAGGACATCGGCGATATTTTCTCCTGAGTGTTCCCCTTCTATCTCACGTAGCGCTAACACGGCAGTTCGACGTGTTCCGGTATTATCGATAAAATGTGCCACTACTCCAAGCACAGCGAGGTGATTCGGCGACGTCCAAAGATCGAACGATAACGAAATAGAACTCCGAGCGTCATGCATGTCGTGTCCTAATCTCTCCTTCCTCTCCTTGAATGCACTAATCACCCATTGACGAATAGTAGATGCGGCTTTTGGAAGTAGGTTCGCTAAAGGGGGAAATAGATAAAAGAGGAGATCCCGAAAGTAGCCATTTTCAATCTGGAAGAAAGCGATATGGCAGCAGACCAGCCAGCGGATTAGGAGTTCTTTAAACCGATCTAAGCGGCGGGCGAAGACGATTGACTTCATGTCCTGGTAGTCGGATATCGACGGCTGGCTCGTATCCACCGAGTCTCCTCGGAAGGATTTACTTTCGCCGGTAACCTTATCGATCTTATGTGTCGAGTCGAGGTGGTCGAGCGCTGTAGAATTGCCATTCGACACTGCTGGAAGCTCTTGCTGACGGCGCTGTTTTTCACAGAGGTAGCAATACCATACACGTCTCCCATCTTTTTTGGCCTGTAGATCTTCACTGTATATCCAGATCACCGACGTTCGCTTCTTTGTTGCTTTAGGGCCCTTCGCTAGCACCGCACAGCGGATATACTGCTCCCCCTGGAGCGTAAACTCATCTGGCTGGATTAGAGCTTCTGGGTCGCGACGGGGGTTAATAGATTCAGGGGCAAGAATAATATTATCAGACTCGGAAGTCTTGGAGGAAGAGCGAGCGAAGAACTGAGTAATTGTTGATGCGGCCATTTTAGGATGTCTGCCGCCGCTGAGTAGGTTCATACCATTTTTAACATCTTAGCAGTTGTAGGTCCCGCTGGCCTGCCAGATTCATTATTGAATGCTATTAGGAAGTCATTGGACTAGATGAACTCCTTCTGAGAACGCGCTTCTGGGGTAAAGCGTACCTGAAGCAAGAACGCCGAAGATGTGACTCACTCTTCCTTATCAGGTTAAGTTGCTTCCTAATTAGGCATGGTCCATTGGCGCTCCAGGAGCCTCCAGACCTCTCGATCCAGTCCAGTCCAAATTTCTCAAACTCCGGATCCAGTCTAGCTAAATCCAGTCCATCCAAATCCAGTCTAGTGCTAGTCCAGTCCAATTAGATCACTGAGGCGAAGCGGGTGGTGCATGATGAGTATGTACAATACGAGGAAGCAGCTGCGGAAGCAGAGATAGCAGAAGCAACACAAGAGGAGGATAATGAGGTTGGTACTGATAGCGATACAACGCTCGATCTTCTCCAGCAAGCTCGTAAGCGTCGCCAGCGGGTCGCCGCTAGTACGGCGTCTACGCGAGGAAAGAAGCGCGCAAGAGTCACCTCTGACCTCGATCAGTTTATAGCTAGGACTAATAAGGCTGATGGAGATGTTGATGACCCTCTAGAGTGGTGGATTCGCCATGCACCTGACTATCCTGTGCTCTCTAAGATGGCGTTTGATCTGTTTAGTTGTCCTGCAATGAGTGCTGAGTGTGAGCGGGTATTCTCACAGACGAAAAAGGTCATCACGGATGAACGGAATCGGCTCAATTCAGGGACTGTGGCGGCAATTGAGTGTCAAAGGCACCTCCTTCGAACTGGTATGCTCCTGTAGGTTAGTATAGATATCAAATCGGGAAATTCTATCGAGTAATGTCAACCAACCAAGCAAAGCAAGGGCATCTCGTCAACCAACCAAGCAAGGTAAAGGATTCTCGTCAGCCAAGTCAAGTAAGAGGGTCGATTTTTGGTTTACTTGGTTGATGGACACACTGGTACAAGCTCATCTCAGTAAATACGACTGTCAACTATAGTAATCAGATAGCAATCAGTCAGTCAGTGCAACACCAAAAATAGCGATCTTGGCAGTCAGTTCAGTTTCAGTTCACCAGAGTTGTCAACAATCAGTCAAATCGGTATGATTGGTTCCTATCTAGGTATAACACTTTCCTAATCGAGGCGATACTAACCTAGGTAGGAAACAATCATGCCGATCTGGTTGATTGTTGACAACTCTGGAGTTCACGACTCCAAAAAAGTCTTGGCAGTCAATCAGGTCAGTTCACTAGTCCCAAACTGACAGTTTGAGCCGCATAGATGGACTGACAACTGATTGATTGACTGATAGCAACTCTGTAGGCGTCCCACTAGCAGCATTTGACCTTATAGGGTCTCCGCTTATTGTAGTAGTTGCCAGGTCTCAAGAGAAGCGACGTCGTCAGAAAGAGACAAAGGGACATTTTTTTGCAGAACAGGACCAACAATTGAATGGAAGAACGAGGCGTTTCTAGTACTGGATCTAGTTTTAGCTGACGCTGACGCTGACGCTGACGCTGACGCTGACGCTGACTCTCATATGCTAAGTATCTCCTTGTCCAATAAGAAACCAAAAAGTTTTGGAGACTGAAAACAACCGTTTCGTCATTGCACTACCATGCCTACTGTGGTATTTGGCATAAGTATTGGGCTGCTGAGATTTGTCCCTAAGAGGAGATCTGTCCCCAACGCTAGCTATATATCTACTAGTGCAGAAAGCAGACATTGATTACAGAACATCAGGAACATCAACACTTGGCTGTCTTGAGTGATTCGTAGTAGCTGCTTTGTTCCATTGTAGTTCGCTTCTACTGTCGTCGAGACCTCTTCCGCGGGCCGAGATCCTTCCAAGCCTCTGAAGCTGTCGCTGCTGCTGCACGCTTGGGACGCTGTCTAGGCTCATCCTGAGGCTTAACAAGTGCATTCTGCGCATCAACTTGCTGTAAATGGGTCGGGTATGAGTCCGTTGCTCTAGGCTTTCTTTGCTCTGAGGAACTCCTCCCACTCCGGCCTCCCCGTATACTTCTCCATTAACGTCCTGTACCCACACCAGGTTCCCACCTTCGCAACAGCGCCCTGCAAGGCCCACGGCACATACCACCTTAGCGAACCAAGCCACCAAGCCGTCGGAAACATGATGAGTGCAGATGCGGCTGCATGTCTGGCATCACATTAGCATGTCTGGCTGATATATTGGTGATTCACAGTCCGCCTAGTGCGAAACCTGTGTAAGATTGTGGATTGGAAAAAAGAATGAACTTACTGCATAAGCATGATTTGAATAAGGCTGAGCGATACCTTCTTTTCCTCAACGTCGCTCATGTAAAGCAAGAGGTTTTCGAAGAAGAGCCGGTCCATAGGGTCCGGCGTTCCGGTGGGATGCGCCCATACATATAATACGCTATCTTCTTGTGCTTCAGGGTGGGGCCAGAAACTACCATTATGTCAGTCAACTGTTGTGTTCTCGTATGCAAACCCCCATACGACTAGGTTCCATCTGCAGTCTTGCTCTGGTGGGAAACTTACCGATGCGGCACCCAGGGCTCGATCTCGAAAGCTCCGTCCTCGCTCGTCCACGCTTGGTCCTGGGCGGCCCATCCGAGCGTCGTGCCGACTTTCCCTTTTGCCACATAAAATGTTTCGCTTTGATCGAAATGCAGGTGCAAGGGAGGAGACTGGGGGTGATGTTTCCCTTTACTGTTGGCAGGTGTAAGGTAGATTGTTCGCATAAGGACCGTGGCATTCAGCGTTGGTGGAGGTTCGAGGAACTCGATTATAAAGGAGGAATTGAAAAGGGTATGTGGCCCGGATATCGTTTTTGCTGTTTCCACTGCTTCGAGATTTGTTGTTGCCATGCTGAACGACTATTCTTATACGCCTTGATGTCCAGGAATAAAAGACGTAGGAGGTCCCGCGACTACGATCAAGTAGCGAAGCAGGTAGGGAACAGAACGTGATATTTATGTTATGATGCGCGCTTTTCGAAGCCCGTACTACCGTGTCCGTGCACACCATGCGCGGATTCGCGCAATGCGCCCAAACGCTTTATGCACCCATACTTCACAGCACTACAATTCAACACCACGATGCCGCTAAAGCAAGTCCTTGCAGAGATCGACTCTATAATGCCATGCGACAAGATCCCCTGGACAGAATTAGCTAGAAAACATAGTGTTGTACGCTCAACTCTATCGCGAACGTACCGACGCGAAACGCGATCGCGTGAAGAACAGGCTGTTGCACAACAAAAGCTCAACCCACAACAAGAGCTAGAGCTTGTTAAGCATATAGATGTGCTTACTGCGCGTCGCTTGCCACCTACAAGAGAGATGATACAGAATTTCGCGTCAACTATCGCAAAAGAGCCAGTCTCTGAGAGCTGGGTTACCCGATTCATCAACACACACAAAGACCAGATCACACCTCAGTGGAACAACGCTATGGACGCCAATCGCCACGCTGCTGATTCCTACACAAAGTATAAGCTGTACTTCGACCTGTTGCAGCACAAAATCACCCAATACAACGTTGACGCTGAGCACACATACAATATGGATGAGAAGGGCTTCTTAATTGGCTTAATAGGCAGAAGCAAGAGGATCTTCAGCAGGCGTCAATAGGAGAAGAAGGAGGTTCGAGCCAGTGATCTAATTAGACTAGACTAGCACTAGACTGGATTTGGATGGACTGGATTTAGCTAGACTGGATCCGGAGTTTGAGAAATTTGGACTGGACTGGATCGAGAGGTCTGGAGGCTCCTGGAGCGCCAATGGACCATGCCTAATTAGGAAGCAACTTAACCTGATAAGGAAGAGTGAGTCACATCTTCGGCGTTCTTGCTTCAGGTACGCTTTACCCCAGAAGCACGTTCTCAGAAGGAGTTCATCTAGTCCAATGACTTCCTAATAACATTCAATAATGAATCTGGCAGGCCAGCGGGACCTACGACTGCTAATATGTTAACAATGGTATGAACCCACTCAGCGGCGGCAGACATCCTAAAATGGCCGCATCAACAATTACTCAGTTCTTCGCTCGCTCTTCCTCTAAGACTTCCGAGTCTGATAATATTATTCTTGCCCCTGAATCTATCAATCCCCGTCGCGACCCAGACGCTCTGATCCAGCCAGATGAGTTTAAGCTCCAAGGGGAGCAGTATATCCGCTGTGCGGTGCTAGCGAAGGGCCCTAAAGCAACAAAGAAGCGAACGTCGGTGATCTGGATATACGGTGAAGATCTACAGGCCAAAAAAGATGGGAGACGTGTATGGTATTGCTACCTCTGTGAAAAACAGCGCCGTCAGCAAGAGCTTCCAGCAGTGTCGAATGGCAATTCTACAGCGCTCGACCACCTCGACTCGACACATAAGATCGATAAGGTTACCGGCGAAAGTAAATCCTTCCGAGGAGACTCGGTGGATACGAGCCAGCCGTCGATATCCGACTACCAGGACATGAAGTCAATCGTCTTCGCCCGCCGCTTAGATCGGTTTAAGGAGCTCCTAATCCGCTGGCTGGTCTGCTGCCATATCGCTTTCTTCCAGATTGAAAATGGCTACTTTCGGGATCTCCTCTTTTATCTATTCCCCCCTTTAGCGAACCTACTTCCAAAAGCCGCATCTACTATTCGTCAATGGGTGATTAGTGCATTCAAGGAGAGGAAGGAGAGATTACGACACGACATGCATGACGCTCGGAGTTCTATTTCGTTATCGTTCGATCTTTGGACGTCGCCGAATCACCTCGCTGTGCTTGGAGTAGTGGCACATTTTATCGATAATACCGGAACACGTCGAACTGCCGTGTTAGCGCTACGTGAGGCAGAAGGGGAACACTCAGGAGAAAATATCGCCGATGTCCTTTTGCAGGTGATCAAAGATTACAAGATTACTGGCCAGATCGGCTACTTTATGGCAGACAACGCGTCCACTAATGACACCTGTATCAATTCCGTCCTTCAGGCCCTCTACCCAAATATGTCAGAGAAGCAGCGGAGGCGCCGGCGCCTTCGCTGCTTTGGGCATATCGTGAACTTGTGTGCGCAGGCTTTTCTCATCGGAAAGGACGCTGAAAAAGTCTGTAAAGATCTGGAAGCTGCGTATAGGGAGGGCGATATGAAGAGGATTAAGGAGCTCTGGCGGAAGCGCGGCGCTATCGGAAAGCTTCATAATATTATTCGATATATACGAGCAAGCCCTCAGCGCCGTCAGTTCTTTAGATCAATTATATGTGGAGGGGAGCTATCAGAGTTTGACAGCTTAGAGGTGAGCTGGCACCTGCTAGGCGGAAATTAGAGCTAACATGCTCTAGCTTATTCAAAGCCAACAGACGCGCTGGAATTCATACTTCACCTCGATCGGTAGAGCTCTAAACGTGAAGGAGCGAATTCAGATCTTCTGTGACCAGTACGAGGCTGGCCAGGGCCAGAAAACCCTCTTTCAAGACCGCCTTTCTAAGCAACAGTGGGAGGAACTTGCGCACCTTCACGACCAGCTTGAGACGTTCTATGATGGAACCCTATCTACGGAAGGCAGGGCGTCAACACTAGCGGATCACTTTCAGACGCTTGACTGGCTGCTAGATGAGATTCAGCAGGCTGAGATTAAATTTGAAGAGCTCCACAAAGAGGCGGTTCGGAAGAAACATGGCCGTAGAGCTCTTGCAACTGAAGCAGATGACTTCGCATTTCTTGCCGCTGCAGCTGAAGTTTCCTGGAGTAAGGCCGAGGAATACTTCAAAAAAGCAGATAATACGCCAGCATACTATACCGCCATTTCTCTAAATCCAACTCTTAAACATCAGTGGTACATTGAGACCTGGACGGACGAAGTTAAGCGGCCATGGATTTTAACCGTGAAAGAGCTTGTTAAGGAGTTCTGGTTAGAAGAGTATCGAGGTAGATACTCTACTAAGCAGGCGTCTGCTACCCCAGCCCTAACGCCAGCTGTTCCGGGTAAGAAAGAGAAGGCTTCTGCTGCTATTAAAAGCCATAAGCGGCTTAAGCTCCGCTATGAGGCATCAGCACCTGAAATACCCGCTATCGATCTCTTCGATCAGTTTCTTGAGAAAGACGTCATCCGGCTCGATGAACATGACTCGTTTGACGTTATCCAGTACTGGAATGATCGCTACTACTCGCAACCTGATCTAGCACGTATGGCTCTCGACGTACTAGCTGTTCTACCAATGTCCGATGTGTGTGAGAGGCTATTCAGCAGCGCAAAGATGCTGCTTACCGACCGGCGCTCGAGGCTCAAGATGGATATTATCGAAGCTAGTGAGTGCCTTCGATCGTGGTATGGACCACCTACACGGAATACTTTCGACGACGAAGGCATCGGGAGACTAGAAGGTGAGCCTGACCCTCAGGAAACTGGGCAGCAGGGTGGGGTGATGCTGATACCGAAATGGACGGCGCGGAACTTCAGATCGTGGACCAAGACGATCTTCTGGACGAGGACGATATTGATGGAACCAGTATGGACATTGTGGATGTCCATGACGCAGTATATAGTGTAGAATAAATGTGTATTCGGCCACTGGACTGGCCTTTTCCATTGAAAAAGGTTACTTACTAAGCAATTGTGAGAACTGGATTTGCACTGGCGCTCCAGGAGTCCCAGAGCCCTTGCACCGGACTGGACTGGATCCGAACCCTGAATCCAGTCCAGTCCAGTCCAACAAGATCACTGCCGGGGAGCGACTTATCCTCGGGACGGGGCTTTTCCCTTTCGGGACTGGTTGCGAGAGCGTCGTCCTCGAGATCTTGAGGATCGAGAGGATCTTGAAGTATCAGATCCTGCGGAGCGGGTACGGGTCTGGTTATTAGCGCTGTGCGATCGGATATGCTGAGCGGGCAGAGGGACGCTGCAGTTGCTAGATATATGACCCTTCTGGTTACATTTAAAGCAGCGGCCTTCCTTGATTCTCTTCTGGCGTTCAGCAGAGCCAGCGGGAGCGTAGTTCAACACGTCTATATCCATTGCATCAGGATGGGCTGCAGGGAGACGGCGTGGGCGGTCTGGTAGGAAGCGGAGGTTGTTGTCGTACGTGGATATAAGGTTAGCGTAGTCGTTGAGGTCGCTAGGCAAGGCCTCTCCAACCATTGCACGCTGTAGTTCATGGGACAAGGAGTTTCGGAGGGAAGCGATGAGACCAATCTCATTTAATCCAGTATCAGCGGCTAGTCGTCGGAACTCAGCGAAGTGGGAAGTGAAGCTGCGCTTCCCTTGACGTAATCCACTCAGTCGGCTAAGAGCTGTCAGCTCCTTGTTTGGGTCTCCGTAGGTGGCTTCGAGGAAGGTAACGAGCTGGTCTACATTATGGATATCCTTGTCCATAAGAGGGTCGATAAGGGCTACTGCGTCCTTCTCTAGTCGAGAGTGAGCGTATAGCAAGCGGAATCTTTCGTTTGGGTATCGGTCAGCATTGCCCTCGAGCTTATACCTCAGCTTGCGGACAAAGGCGGGAAGGTCCTTTCGTCGACCATTGAAAAGAGGAGGGTCAGGCAGACGATCGGTTCGGGGCAGGTCCTTCTGGTTCACGGTGGGCGGCGTCGCAGGCTTCGAGCCAATTCCAGATGGCTCCTCTAAACGAATTTGTTCACCTTCAGTGTCGGTACGGGTAATGGCCGGGGTAGTAGCGGGAGCAGACCTAGTCTTAATAGTCTCTAGCTCTTGACGGAGCTCTAGTATTTGCTGAGCGTGTCGATTCTCTTGCTCAGCTAGATTAGCGAGCAGTGCTTCGTTGCTGGCTTTTAACGCGGCTGAGTCTGCTTTTAGTAAAGCAGAGTCCGCTTGAATTGCGTTTAACCGATTTAGGATCAGTTGCAAAGCGTCAGATTGTTCAGAGGTGGT